TCAAAATTTAAATATGTTCAGCAGTGTGACGATCATTAAATTCACGAAAAGCAAGAACACGTTTATGCAAATTCCAATCATTATCAATAAAATGTGCAATAAGACCCAAATAATGTAAATTATTATCAGTATCCTCCCAAATGTCAGAACAAATAGTAACACGGCCATCAAAGTTTGCAAAAATTTTTTGTAACCTATCCTTTTCCGCATGATAAAGCCTTATAATTTCTTTCTTAACCGTTTTGCGACTATAACCTCTAAATTGAGGATTTAAACAAGTTTGTGCATAATATTTAAAAGCAAGACTTTCAGAAAACAAATAAGACAAATTTTCTTCAACAAGTAAGTTAGCCATACCAGTCAAATTTCTTGCATCATTGTATGAAAAATTACCAAAAGGTTGGTCATTTGCAAACCTCGATATTTGAGTTTGCTTCCCCTTGCCTTTGTCTATTTTCGCATACTCCACAAAGTGCGAGGACTTAAGATGCCTTTTGAGGCTTTCGTATCCGCCGGAAGTTCCCAAGCTATACTCCTTATTGCACTGATTGCAACTTGCGTACCATTTATCGGTTGTTTTGTCTTTCCTCTTTGTAAAATTATTTTCTATAATAGGAGATTTAGACTTCTTACCATCTTGGTATGAATCACCCTCGTCCTCCAACTCTTGCTCATCATCTGGGATGCCGTGACTGTCGTTGCCCCCCGCGTCCTCCTCCACATCCTCATCTTCGAGCTTCTCTTCGTCAATGGACTCCGGGATGTTTTGTTGATGGAAAAGGCGACCATCATTTTGCGCCAATAGTTGTTGTAGTTGCTCGTCGACATCGCATCTCCATCTCGCATTTGGTACTCCGTTTCAAAATCTTCTCGACTTTGAGAAGAAGACCCGGCCCGCCCTTTACCTTTGCCTTTGCGTAAACTAGGATGAGTTGTCAGTTTGTCGCAATTTCCTTCCTTCGGTTGCGTTGGAGATTACCCATATCTACGCAATGTCTATCACGGTCCATCTTTAAAATGTAAAAAATATTATATTATATCAAACGTTTTAATATATGTTCAATAGTAATAATAAAATGCAACTAATAAAATTATAGCAAATTTCCAAGAATCCACTTACTAATAAAATTAACTAGTTTTATACTTTAATGCAACAATTAACAAATTAAATAATAGGAAAATGAAAAATGTAACAATTAACTAGTTTTATACTTTAATGATAAATGCAACAATTAACAAATTAAATAATAGGGAAATGAAAAATGTAACAATTAACTAGTTTTATACTTTAATGAAAAATTTAACAATTAACTAGTTTTCTACTGTTATGATAAATGCAACAATTAACAAATTAAATAATAGGGAAATGAAAAATGTAACAATTAACTAGTTTTATAATTTAATGAAAAATGTAACAATTAACTAGTTTTATACTTTTATGATAAATGCAACAATTAACAAATTAACTAATAGGGAAATGAAAAATGTAACAATTAACTAATTTTATACTTTAATGAAAAATGTAACAATTATAAAAAATGTAAGTAATAGAAAAAATGAGACAAGTATTAATAAACTAAATTAGGATAATGAGAAATGTAAAAATTAACTAATACGATGAATTTAATTACTATGAATTCAAGTGTAACTAATATAATTGTATAACTAGTATATAATATAATGTTTATAGTATATAATATATAAGTATATTACTATAAAATGAGTAATACACTTATGTATAATACTTTAATATATATAAGTAAATAAAAATAAATATAGATAATAAGTAGATATCAAAGTAAATATTAAAAAGATGGAGATGTATAAGTAGATAATAAGTATATATTAAGTAGATAATAAATATTAGTAATATAATATATGTATATAAGTAGATAATTAATATATAAGATTATAAGTAGATATAATAATTATATAAATAATATATATATGTAGAGAGATTGGGTGAAGATGAAGATGGAGATGATTGAGTATGAGAGAATAGAAAATTAGAGAGTAGGATTGTATGAAGATGGTGTGAAAAATGTAGAGAAAATAGGAGTATAAATAGGATTTGTTTGGTATCCCCCACCCCCATCCCCACCCAAACCCCCCTGGACCCCCCTCCAACGGCTATAGAGCCGTTTGGGATTATTCCCAACGGCTAGGGAGCCTTGTTTAATTAAAAAGAAATTTAAAAAAAAAATAGCCGGGCCGGTTCGTCATTCGCAGGGCCCGAGCCCGGACCGCCTACCTACCGGGCCAGTTAGGCCCGAACCGTCCACCTGACCGGTTCCCGGGCCGGGTACAAATAGTACCGGTCCGAGCCGGTTCTGGTTCGGTCCGACCGGCCCGAGTCCAGGCCTAATACCGGGTATTTAAACGGTTTATATATATATATTTCCCGTACCGAAACCGTACCGTTTGAAACGGGTACGAGACCGGTCCTAGATTTTGATAGCCGAAAAATACCGGACCGAACCGTTTGAAAATAATGTACTTGAATTTTTAATATTTTTCTATACCAATTCAATAAATCTCTTTTATAGACCAACAATTTTATAGCCCAAGTATGTATTTATGCGTCCTTAAAATAGCTAAATGTGTGTGTGTGTATATATATACGGAGTATATAATATTGTTATTTTTTCTTTTTAGATAATTTTTGTTATATTTTGGTATGTATTGAAAGAATATTAAAATTTTAGAGAAATCATTAATGACTTCATTTCTAGTAATGTTAGCATACATGACTTTTTGTAGTATCATGTTTGTGCAATTTTACAACTTAATTAAATGGTTTAAATCTTAGCTCTCAAGGTTCAACTATAAATTAAATTAGAACTACGGAGTAATATTTAACCTAGAATGAAGAAGAAGAAGAAGAAGAAGAAGAACGTCAAGGATTTCTATTATATTCAACAATTTGATGATATTCTTTTTTATATTTCCACATGAACTAAGTAAATTAAGGATGATATTTATATATCTCGTGCGTCATCGTTTTGCTATACTCCTTCTTAGTTGTGTTGCACTATTTGTTTATTTGTGAATTTTAGTCCTATATATGCAATTTCTTGTATTTATATCAACATTTCATGTGAGTTGGTTGGCGTGATGATATCTGCTAATTGCAAGATTTGTTCAATTTTTTTAGCATGTGGTTGGCATTGTACCGTACCGTTTTGTACCGTTTCAAAACGACATGGTACCGAATGGTTCCATCCTTGAAACCGGACCGTACCGGACCGTTAAAAACCTCACAGATACATTACGGATTTTACTAATTTACCGGACCGTTCCGGACCGCACCCACCCCTAATTAAAAATGTAACACCGTCCTCAAATATATATACTTTTTACCAAATCATTTATTGAACCTTGAGAAATGGTTAATGAATTTTTGAGATTGTAAATTTTTGTTATTAGTTTTACGTGAATAGTAAAATGCACGTGGGGCTTGCATCGGGAGCGGGAACCACCCGAAAATTTACGGAACCACATGTTATCTTCATCCTGGTCTAGATAATATATATATGATGATGTATATTTATGTTGGGTCATAGAAACGACGTAGAGTTGACCAGATGATCAAACGAGGTCCATTTACTAGGTTTGGTAAATTATCGGATAACAGCTCGTAATATATTACTGAGACCACTAAATTAAAGTTGGTGAAAATATATTCATTCTAAGAGCCCATAATAATTAGGAGAATGATATTTATTTTAATTGACTTGATATAATGAAATTTAATTAAAATAGTCTAGAAAATACAAATTTCGGGACCAAGTGTACACACCGAGAGGCGAGACACAAAGGAGCCTCCTACCTGAGTTGGGGCCACCCCATGAAAATGTACGCTCAAGTTGACCAAAGGAGACTGACTTAGCATGGGGAGGTGTTGTATGAGGTGATTGGCATCTCGGAAATGTGTTGGGAATCGAGGACGTACAAAGTCATTCAGTTAGGGCGATTTTTTGTATGCAGTGACATGTAAAGGACGGTGAGAAGCTGTCGAATTGTTCGAGTAACTCGAATTTATTTTTCTAAAGGGTTTGGGTGGAATCTTAGGAGCACAAGGTTAGTCTAGCGAAGTTGATCGTGCTAATGTTGGTTAACTTTCATTAATGTAAAAAGTTTTTTGCTTTTTTAGTCGTTCGACTATTGTGTCATTGACACTTCTGATATTATCTTTGAGCTTTTCTCTTTTGATCCTTATGATATTGTGAGTGATATTTTTAGTCATTCATTTTAAAAATTTCAAATTCAGTCATTGACTATTCTAAAAGTGACATTTTTTATTTTTCAAGTATTATGACAATGACGTTTTTAGTCCTGCATTTATTGCAACAAAATTTTAGTTTAAGGACTTATTAAAATATCACTTTTGTAAAAAGTGAAAGACTAAATATTAATAAAATATTTATGTCACAATAGTCGAAATAAATAGGTGAAAGATTATTAAAAAATAAAAGATTCAAATTGACTACAAGTGTGACACATGATAGTAGGACTAATATAAAATAAAATTGAACTAAAATAGGATACTCAATCAATAAAGACCCGCCGGTTCTATTCGTGGCATGGTTAGGAGTTTGGACTAAACGACTGTAGTATTGGCGTAACGTGTCCATTTCTAGCAAAGACTGTGTGGCATTACCTGAAACTGATCCGCTGCTTAACTTCTTCTTCCCTCCTGTCTCGATCATCCGTCGGCTTTTGATGGGGAAGCGGGATTTGGAGTTCCGCGCGGAGGACGACGACGCTTGGTACACCGTGAAAGTGCAGCTTCAAGGCGACACTTTGTTGATCGAGTTCCAGGGCATTCTGGAAACCGCCCAGTTCGCTGCCTCAATGTTCCATTCGCAGGAGGCCGTCGAACGGTTCGTCAGAAGGTTTAGGGTGTTCTCGCCGCAGCTCCAGGACAGTGAATGCCGCAGAATCTCTAAAGGCTCCATCGTTTGCGCTGCATGTCACGCCTTCCGCAGGGACGACATGCGCTACTACGATGCCATTGTTGAAGCTGTGAGTCACTCTCTCGCTCTACATCATATCCCCTTCCATCTTTTTCGCCGCAAATAACAAGCTTTTCTCTCTCTCATTGTATTGTTTTTTCATCCACTCGCTAGAATCATACGAAGTACTAAATCGTAGGTTTTGCACTGCCCCTGTTTTATCGCCCCATTTTCTTCATTTACTTATTTATATTTATATTTATTTTTGCATTTATTAAATTTTTTTTTTTTTGATGGCCGAACTCTTTTTTGGATTGGTGACAGACCCTTTAAAGTTGCCAATATCTAATGAGAAAATTGGGTACAACAACAATAACATCCCAGACTTAGCCTAGGATATTTTCTTTTGGACTGAAATTTGCCGGTCCGGTCTGGTCTGGTCTAGTAAACGTCTGGTCTCTGTGTATTTTATAACTACGGACTACGGAAATCTGGTCTGGTCTGGTACTGAAAACACTCCAAAAGAAAACATTCTTAGTAGTTTGGGATCGGCTAATATGAATTCACGTATTTAATATAAGAATGATAATAAATAAATAAATAAATAAATAAATAAATAAAAAAGGCAGTCCGGTGCACATTGGCGTTCCCCCAAGGCGAGGGGATAAGATAAATAAAAAAATAAGATAAAGATAAAATGAGATAAAAAGTATAAGTTAAAATGATAAAAGAATAAAGTATATAACAAACACACATCATCATCGTTGTCATTTTCCAAGAGCCGCAAAGGCTCCCATATACGGTGAGGTATAGGGGTCGGATGTATGCAACCTTACCTCTATACTAAAGCATAGAGAAGCTGTTTTCGGATGACCCATGCTCAAAATCGCATCGAAGATTACATGGAATCACTGCCGCTTCATACCAGGAAGCACACAAAGTTTAATGAGCCATTTTGCTTTATTCCACCATATTCACAAGCCAAAAAATAGTGAGTCTTTGGCTCCATTACAAAGATAAAGAAGATAAAAAGATACAACAAATACAACATTACCTAAGTGCTGCAAAGTCTCCCACCTATGGTGGGGTAAGGGATTCGGGTGTAAGCAACCTTACCCGGCCCCTATCCTAAAGACCGGATGACTCATGACAAAAATCGCATAAAAAATTGCATAGATTAACTGCTGCTTCAAAACAAAATTTTGTAAATCAATGGCTCCATTGAAAATGATGGAAATAAAAAAGAAAAAGTTAAAAGGATAAAAGAGATGAATAAAGATCAATCCTCCATACAAATATTTTTTCTCTACTTTGCTCTCTCCAAAGTAATGATCTCATCCAATCCAAGAAGAAACATGTCATTCTTGACTCCTATAATCCACGTCTGTTAGGGTCTTGTTTCCCCTTTCCTTTCTGCCGCTTCTCTCCACCTCTCAACTCGTCTACCTAGTGCATCACCCGTTCACTCCAAACCACCACAATTGAGACTCTTGCATCTAATAATTTTTCTTTTTGGGGATGTGAAGAACGAGTTGGACGGATAGAAAATGCAATTGCATTGGTGCGGTTTTCTTGAGCACGGGTGACATTTTGATGGCGTTCTTCTTGAATGACCATTTGATGAACCTTGTTAGAGCAGGAAGGGTTTGTCATGCAAAGGATATTGGAGCGAAGAGTGCCATAAACATCACCATCATGAACCATAAGAAAGTCATGAGTCTTTTCAATCTCCACATTTTGGATAATTTTTTAGTGAAGATTGCAAGAACATCCGCCGCACTTGCATTGTGGAGCAAGTTGATAGGGGGCGTAGTCATCCCATTTTGACTTGAGGCAGCTAAAATAGATGGTAACAGACTTGCGTGCATGTCTACATTTACGGATAGCTTCCTTAAGTTCATGCACGTGCATGGCATCATCCACACCAATCCAGACCTTTAAATCGTCCCTAAGGTCATGTACACTATCCATATATGCTATGTTGGAACGTAATGGTGGGTATATGGAGGACATGAGTAATCCAACTAACATTGAAATAACATTATACCAATCCTCAGGGTCATCGTTGTTTGTTGTTGGTTGGGAAATCAAACCATCCAAGAATTGAAGTTTGCGTTTTACCCGAAACACATTCTTCATAGCAGTTTCCCATTCACGATAGTTTGACTTCCCAAAAAGTGTAACACCGCAAATATTTATAGCGGGATTGTTGGAGTTGCCCGCCCTAGTTGTTGGTTGCCCGAAACACAATCTTCATAGCACCACCGCCAATTTTGTCACTTCAAATAGAGCAAGTTTGTTCGCAACAAGCTAATCTAACAATGTCAACAACACTCTTACTGTCACCCGTGGAGTTGACACCACTACTCTTGACACCTTCATCCTTCCCTACTGCATATTTGCTGCCCACAACCAAGTTGTAAGAAATAATATGGACCTTCCTAGCAAGAGCAAATTTTGATGAATCTGGCCGGATATTAGGACATTGGGCCATTACTAATAGTCATGCGGCTACAACCAACACGGTGATGATTGATCATATAGCAATGCCGTTTCATCATGGAAAGACTGGTTGTCATGAGTTATTAGCTGAAAGCTTGAGGATAAACTTGATGAGTTGATGTTCAAGAGGGGAGTAATGATATGGAAAGAAAAAGCTCATTATTACTATCATTATTATTATTCATATTATTATTAGTTTTCTAAAGTAAGTTTCCTAAAGTAATGGGTGTTAGTTTCCTAAGGTTATTATTAGTTGCAGTTTTCTATTAGTAGAGATATTCTATTTTAGTTAATTTCTGATAAAAGTATTGGAATAGAATTAAAGTTACTCTAATAATAGACCACCAAGACTCTTGGGACTAGTATAAATAGAGGTGTCATATTAATGAATAAAATCATCAATCTTCATGAGAATAATTCTTCTTGTGCGCTCGGTGGAACCGACACATCATATTTAGGGCGGGAAGCTGAGTTGTTTTTCCAACTATCATATTTACCGTCTTCTTTGTATCTCCCAACCACGCCCTTAACAACTTCTCAACAAGTTGTCTATGAAGGTGAATAACCTTAGTTGTTGAGCAGATGGGCATAAACCGAATTGATTCTTTGAGTTATTCACACTTCTTCAGAGTCTGTTGCTCACTCACTCGCTCCCAAAGTTTCATGGTATGACTGGTAAGCTTAGTCCCTCTATGCCTTAGTGTGTTATGGACCTAGCCCATACTAGGCTCATAGCAAGGCCCTAAGCCCTCACTCCCAAAAGACTAGCCAATTAGGAAGAGGGGGACACCTAACTTATAAGCCACCGGTCAATCCCATAATTGACCGGACAATACCACACGCTTCGAAGAGCCAACGTCCTCGTTGGTCACCGCTATGTTGGTCACGGTTGGCACCAACCCCCAGGGTCCAAACCACCACTTCATAGGCCACCACTCCGAGTGTCGGGACTAAGAAGATGGGGATGGCTCTGATACCATTAGTTATGGACTAGCCCATACTAGGCTCATAGCAAGGCTCTAAGCTCAGATGTAGAACTCACTCCCAAAAGACTAGCCGATTAGGAAGAGGGGACACCTAGATATAAGCCGCCGGTTAATCCCATAATTGACCGGTGTGAGATCGTTACATAGTGCAAAAGTTGGATAGCTTTTCAAAAATAGTGCTGAAGTTTTTGAAAGGCCCTTGATGGAATTACTAATTTCCTGTGAATGAAGTGTTGGTTTAAAAACCTGTCTTCCTTATGACATGGTAGAAGATGGTGGTAATGTAAAACAAGTTTCTTCATACTCTTTTGCTAAAGGGTATTTACTGTTCTATTAAGGTTTAGTAACCCAGTTAAAGTACAACTAGGCGATCAATAAGTTATGGTCTTGTGGATCCGAATTTAAATACCCACTACACGTCTACACTACTAGAGAACAAAACAGATAATACTCTGCTCTAAACAGTTGAACAAAAAGGATAGAGACACCTTACTGTCCAATAGAAGGCTACTACCCATTTGTGATTGATTAGCTTTGTTAATTGGAGTCCATTGAAGCCTTTTGTCTCTTCACTTGGCTGTATTACCATCAATGTTGGTGACATTTTTACCTATTATAATGGTGTATGACTGCACTAATTATGTGGTGATTTGATTTACGCAGATCATTTATCACCATTTTTATTTGTTTCACTGTTGTACATAAGAGGAAATGTTTCTCTGATATACTCATTTAATTTGTATACTTGTGTTAGAGAATAAGTAACCACATTACACTATCAATAACAATAAATGAGATCTATCACACAATTAAGTTAGGATTTGAGAATCTTTGGAGATCTTATATGTTGAGGGATGATGATAATCAGGAATTTGAAAATCTTTGGAGATTTTATATGTTATTAACTTATTTTCTGATTGCCACCTCCAAATTTCTTTCTTTCTAGACTTTTTGCAGCCTATTTTAAGGCCAGTAAGCCAGTTGAATAATAATAAAAAGGTATGAAAGTTTTTAGCAAGGTCCCAGGGAGTTTGTGTAATTTTCATTAAAATGTTTCCAACCTACTGCTATAAACATTTGCACATTTCCATTCTTCCCAGTAGCTCTCCAAACAGCAACCATAGGCATAAGCTAACCTTCTAAATCTCAATCTACCATCACATTCGCCCGAAGGCCCGTGTTGAGATCTTGCACTCAAGCTGCTAGTTAATAGAGAGGAGAGAAACAAATGGTTTGAATATATTTTGATGTGTATAACTGATTTACAATAGGTGCTAATATACAAACACTAATCCAGTCTATAAGGTAAGTAATAATACAATATTAAATGATAGAGATATGTAACAGCTACATACAATATTATGTCTTAAATGTAAATTATTTCTTTCCTTCAATACTAGTAACATATTGCAAAGTGACATGCAAATCATGGTAGGTGACTGAAGGGAGGAGGAGGGTTTTGGTTAGAAAAAAGATAGTAGAGTCATGCTTATCTTTATTATTTGCTTCAAGACTTTTTGAGGACCTCTCACAGAGGAAAGAGGGGAGATGGGTTTTGGTCAGAAATAGCACAACTGTTTGGTGCAACAAGTCTTCTGGGCAAGTTATCTTGCTGAAGAGTTTTCTGACAGGGTCATTTTTTCATTCATTTTCATTTACCCCAGTGCCGCAAAGGCTCCCACCTACGATGGGGTAAGGGGGGTCGGATGTAGGGGTCGGATGTACGCAGTCTTACCCCTGTACTAAAGCATAGAGAGACTATTTTCGGATGACCCATAGTGAAAATCGCGTCCAAAATTGCATGGACTGACTGCTGCTTCATAACAAAGAAGTACAGACAGTTTAGTGAGCCAATTTGCGTTATGCCAACGTATTCTCAAGCCAAAAAATAATGAATCTTTGTTTTTCTGACAGGGTATTAGGCCCTTATTTATTTCGTGTCCTTTCTTCCATAATTAAAAGCTTGTTTTTTATTTGTTTCATTTTCACAAAAAGGAAATTCTCTGCCATGAAAGTCTGAAGTCAGTAACAAAGAACCTTGTTACCAAAAAAGGCACATTGAGCTTTATTGATATCTGTAAACCATTTACTGCATTCCGTTACTTCCGTAGATATTGAAAGATGACTTGCTAACAATTCAAGTTCTGATGTAGTCTGATTCTCTTCTGGATGTAATGATTAGCCTATTTTGCTAACTTGATATGTATGGTGTGATTTAAAAAAACTTGATTGATATTTTGTTTATACTAAGCCACTGTGAATGTATTATTAGGAAGTGTAGTTGTAATGTACGGCTTATACTAGGCCACCTAGTGCAGTGTCATGTACATGTTACAGCCTCCTCCGTTCTCCTAATACTGTTCTGTCATCACCTAAAATATACGGCCTAGATTTCTAGTTACATCGTAGTAATAAATCCTACTATGGAGTATGTAATTTGCAAATACTTGATGCAAACATGGGCTTGGGTTTCTGATATGAAGCGGGAAGAGCATGGGGCGGGACCGGGCTTGGGTCCACTTCCGAGGGCCGGTCACGGGCTGTCCTTATAGTTATTTATTATTTTAAGTTAATGTTATGTTTTGTTTTGGGCCTTTTATTAGTAGAATACTTAGTATAGTTAGTATGGACCTAATTAGGATTTAATTAATTTAGGCTTGATTAGGGTTGCTTGTAGAAGGCTATTTATACCCCTCGCTAGAGTTCATTCTCGTGATCTTGGAATAAAAGTTGGTTTAGCCTTTTGGCTCTGGGCAACAATATTTATTTATCGTTGATTATCTGGGCAACGGTTCACCCCGTTGATTTTATTTTTCTGTTCTTATCAATTGGTCCGACCTGCCGGATCCCGTCCCGCCAAGATGACCAGAACTCAGAACGAACGCTTGACAGAGATGGAGAATGAGCAGATCCGAATGGGAGAGGAAGTGGCCCGACTGGGGGCTGAGCAAACCCGGATGAACCAAACGCTCGAAGACCACGGTGCAAAGTTGGAAGAGATTATTGTCTCACTGGCCGCGTTGACTCAGGCGTTGGTGCTGCTTGGTTCGCCGGACGCCGCTGCTGTTTCGCCGGCCGCTGCCGTTGTTTCGCCGGCCGCTGCCGTTGTTTCGCCGGACACCGTCGCAGCTGGAGTCGGCCGTGCCGCGATGACAATGCCGCACCTCGATAGAGTGCTGCGCAACCCTACTCTGACTTTACTTCCGGCGTTCGATGGGGGAGAACCGATCGGGTGGATCGCTCGGGTGGAGCAACAGTTCGAACTACACGAAACCTACCGGAGAAGAAGGTGGTTGCCGCTGTGGTGGCCATGGAAGGTGGAGCGCTTTACTGGGTAACCTGGTTGAGATCACGCAAACCCGGTTTAGGCTGGGAAGATTTCAAACAAGCCCTGGTGGCCAAAGGGGAAACCGGTTTGAACGACTGTTTGGAGTCAAGCAAGCTGGAACTGTGGAGGATTATAACATTCTTTTTGTCCAGTTGGCAAGCCAAGTCCTAGGTTTAACCGATGAGCACTATTTGGGATATTATATAAGTGGTCTTAAGGAAATAATTCGAAGCTCGCTGCGATTACTTCGACCAAACAACCTGGAGATGGCTATGGAATTAGCTCGCGAAGTGGAGTATAATCTGTCCGTCCAAAGTGGAGAAAGTGGCAGCCTGAATTATCATTTGTCAGGGGTACATTCTAGTAGCCTTTTAAGGGCGAACACAGGTTCCCTGTTGACTGCCATTGGTGCCAGCTTACAGGGTTCGGAGGGCAGCCTTGCGAAAGATAGTGGACAGCCTCCGAGGACAAAGTCAGGGCTGCCTGGGCAACCTACGACACACTCTCAATTCACTCGAATTCCGCCGAAAGAGTTTGCAGAACTGCGGGCGAAAGAATTATGCTTTAGGTGCAAAAAACCATTTACACCAACACATGATTGTCCCTTTAAGCAGCTGCGGGTAATGATAGCTGAGGAGGATGAAGAGTTGGACCTCAAGCTGCATGAATTCTGTGAAATAACCGGCCAGGAAAGGGTTCCGGAAAGAGAAGAAGGATATTTTCCAGTCCCTACTATGTCTGGAAATTTCAGTCCCCATCCGCGAGTTTTCAACCTTGAGGACAAGGTTATTTTAAGGGGGATGGATTGATATGAAGCGGGAAGAGCATGGGGCAGGACCGGGCTTGGGCCCACTTCCGTGGGCCGATCACGGGCTGTCCTTATAGTTATTTATTATTTTAAGTTAATGTTATGTTTTGTTTTGGGCCTTTTATTAGTAGAATACTTAGTACAGTTAGTATGGGCCTAATTAGGATTTAATTAATTTGGGCTTGATTAGGGTTGCTTGTAGAAGGCTATTTATACCCCTCGCCAGGGTTCATTCTCGTGATCTTGGAATAAAAGTTGGTTTAGCCTTTTAGCTCTGGGGAACGGTATTTATTTATCGTTGATTATCTGGGCAACGGTTCACCCCGTTGATTTTATTTTTATGTTCTTATCAGTTTCAAATATAACATCAAAGTTTTCAGCTTTTCTTTCATGTTTCCCCCAAGGCCCTTGTTGTAGTGTACAAATATTTGGAGAAGGTGATGTGGGTTCAAGGAACTAGCAGTGAAAACCATGACTTTTATAGACCTATAAGCTCAAGTGCTAATTGGAGTAACAAACCCCCTTTAAAAACTCATTTTCTGGCCTAGAAGCAAATCCCACTCACAGTTTCTGGTTATAGTTTCCTGTATTTTAACCCCAACCCTCTCTATTGACGTCCATATTAGCCCACACTTGAGGGAATAGCTTGGTCAGTTTTTTGAGGGGATTAGGGTGGGGGTGGGTGGGATCAATTGAATGTTAAATGACGTCTGCATACTTATTTACTTGAAAAAAGAATCCATTTTGTTAGGTGGACCGTAAAGCACATTCTTGTGCGAATGAAGGAGAAGAACAATGTCGGTGCACCTTTGTGCTGTCTTGGCTTCATGGTCCAAACACAGGCCTATTAACCAGTGCTGGTATAGCTAGCGTATGCACAGTAAACGATGAAGGTTGGATTGATCGAAAAGTCGCTACTTTCTCAAGGTTGGCAAAAAGTAAAGTTGCAGTTTCATCTCGCAAGAACACTTCTATTTATCGGAAAGAAGCATCAGCTGGATTAGTGCTTGCTAAAGGAGGATGGAGACAGCTGCTCACTGATCAGAAGAATTTTTCATTCCAGGTGGGCTTTTCCAGTTTGACATGCTTAATTTGTCGTCATTTTTTTTAAATAATAAATACATGCAGTTATGACTCATGATTTAAGTATTAACAATGGTCTTCTTTACATTTTGCAGGACATTCAGAGTCGGTGGAAATTAATTTATGGAAGTGAAAGCAAAGGTTTTTTAATAATCCAATCTCAAATTTGATCTCATTGAACTTTATTTACAAAACTTTTACTATCCATGTCTCCGAAAAATGTTTATCTCTCACTAATCTTGATGTTAGTAAGTTACAATCATACAACAATTGTAAAGCATTAATTCTTGTTATATTTGTAAATGTATTGGGTTGTTTAACACACGGAAAAATTATTATGGAAGTAGCTTGTTTAGGTCAGATATGATTCTCCTTTTTGGGACAAAAATAACTTTTCAAACAAGACTTTTATCTTCTCTTTTTGCTTCTAAGTAGGTGCAGAGAACTCGAGCAACCTCGATTCTTCTCTTCAAGATCAAGACAATGATCTTGGTGGAGAAACATCAAACTGCCATTTCATATTGCTTGGTAATCTGGAGAGGAGCTTATCTCCATCATCGATACAGAAGTTCATACACAGACACACATGTGTGTCACCTCAAGTGTATATTCTGCTAAGTCCCATCTCAACACACTTTGCAAGAGCTGTTCTTGTGGTGGATACCAGGATGGACCATAGGACGCTATGCCAATTCCTGGACAATCCAGATCACTTAGTAGTGTCCACGAGCGGAAGGTAATGTTTTAAGGCTTTTTCCTATTTTTAAAAGCCATTCTGAAACAACTTCTTCTTATAAGTTTGTTGTAGTTTTTAAGGTAGACATACTGACACCTACTTATCCCGCAATAAACAAATTCATTTCCTTCCTCTACCAGCACCAAAGACAATGTGAAACAACTGTCCCAGTACTGGCAGTACATTAAGCTTATACTTTATAGGTTTCTTTTTTGTATTTGTAACACGTTAATCCTAATAAGGGTTTTAGTTGATTGACCTTAAGGGTCTGTTTGATGGGGAGGGTTTTGGATGGCCATATGGGGAAGGTTTCGGAGGGGTTAGTCTATATCTTGAAAAGTATATACATCACACATTTTGTCAAACTTTCCATTTTTTATAAAATCTTAAACATATATCAAGATGTAGACGAAGCTGTTATCCTTGATGTGCTACATCCCATATTCCCATGTAATCACCCCCTCTTGGATTGAACAGTGATTAACAGAAGCTGTGTCTGAAGTGAAGCTTCCCCTCCAAACCTCGCAATCCAAGTTCCAAACAGACTATAGATCTTCCAGATATCAAGATGGACTCATTCTTCAAATTGGCCCTATACTCTGGTCTTGTAGATGGCAGTTGTACATGTTTTTAACTCTTGAGATTGCCATTGGCTTCCTGTAAAGCTCTCAATGTTGAAGATTAATGTTATGTATTTCATTTCATATATTATTCCAATAGCTTTTGTGAAAAATTCAATTCCAAATTCACGATTACTTTGTTACCATCAACATTGTCATCTATAAATAGAGGTTTTCACGTTCACTTTCAGCCGAACAAGAAGCAGTCCATGAGAATTAGGGAGATGATTTTGAGAGTTTACATTTAACTTGCAGTGTGTTGACTTTTGTTCTTTGTGGTGATAAAAGTAATTTCTCTGACATATTGTCATATTTCGCTCAATCGTGATCCTCAACATTTTGTTGGTTTTAATTGTTTTTTTAAGACCATGGGTTTTAATTGAGAGCATGGTAAAGCTTGGGATGAACAAGACTTTGATAGGGAGGCATCCAAGCAAATCTGAGGTAAGCTTCTGAACGAAATAGTATGATTTGTTATTTTGCCAAAGTATGAAACACCTCTCAGGGTTGCAAAAATCTGCTTGTGTAGGAAAATGGCGATGACAGTCATTTGGATGATGAACTAACGTTGGTTCATCACGGTTCTGAAGAGTACAGACGGGCTCAGCAATTGAGGGGTTTGTTTATAGACTTCTACAACCACGAGCAACTCATGTTGAGGAGATTGGTAGAGGAAGAGAAGGAGGTTATTGAAGCATTTTCTTCATTGCAGCAATGTTAGTTTAGTTTAGGTTTAGGCTGTGTTGGCTGAGTTAGTGGGGTCAACCATTCATTGTTCTAGTTTGCTATCCTCCTATGTATAGCGCGCCTTTTCAGTGTGCATATATGTGTGAATATGATGCACGTATATATATATAGTAAAGTAGCCATCGTTAAGGGCTTGTTCTGCCTCATCTCAAATCTCAATCTTAAATCTTAATTAATTATTACTAATCACATCCTAACAAGTTCTTGTATCAGCTCATTAAAAGAGTGTTGTTTCTTTAATTTTATTAAGACCGTTGCGTTTTATTTTGGTCATCTTAGTAACCTTATTTGTTTACTTTTTCTGCATTGATCATCAAATGCACTATGCAAGCACTATAACCAATTAAGTGTGTATTACGGTACTCAAATTGGGCTTTGTTTGGATCGAGTGTTAGAGAGTTTTAATAATGGAAGTGTTAGTAAGTGTTGATATTAACACTTGTTTGGAAGAAAAAATAAGAGGTGTTAAGAAGTGTTAGTAAAGGTTAGGAAGTGTTAATAATAACCTTCCCAACACCTCAATTGTCCATTTTTTTAACACCCCGATTTGGAGTGTTTTGAGGTGTTGGACAATTATTACCCTTCTCATTTACTGTAAAAACATGAAATGCTTCGACATCTCACGTCGAATCTCTTTTCCGCAGGTCCGATGGTCTGCCTTTTTCATCTTTTCTCATTACTCTTTTCGTTTCCTTTTTTTTACTCGTTTCGTTTGCCTCAAGGCAGGCATGGACCCGGTTCGGGCCGCCCGGCCCGGGACCGGCCCGGCCCGCCACTGTGCGGGCCCGGAACCGGCCCGGTTCTCGGGTCCGGGTTGGGCCTAGGCCCGGTGGGGGGGCGGGTCCAGGCTCGGGCCTTGTATTTGGCGAACCGGCTCGGCCGGGTCGGGCCCGGGCCCGGGCCGAATTGATTTTTTTTTTAATTTTTTTTTTCATTTTTTGGGGTTAGCCGGGTTGGGCTTGATGGTTAGGAGGGGTTTGGGGGGGGTGGGGGGGGTGAGTGGGGGGGGTTAGGAAAGCAAAAAAAAAAAAAAAATTATGACCGAACCGGAGGCCCGGCCCGGCCCGGTCCCGGGCCTTCCTTCCCAAAAAAAAGCCCGGCCGGGCCCGGCCCGGAACCGGCCCGGCCCGGGTACATGACTACCTCAAGGTAAAATTATTAACACTTCTATTACTAACACTTCATTTATTTGATTCTCCCAAACAAGGTAAAATTATGTCTAACACTTATACTTTCCTTCCTTTCTGGGCCCTTACTAACACTTACTAACACTTCCAAACACTCCATCCAAATAGGCCCTTAGAATCTCACAATCAACAACTTGACCGATTTCTCTCAAGAGCAAAGTATCAAGCATCCATACTTAAAAAATTTCTATTCATATACTGCAAAAGCAATGCCATAAAGGAACTTTCTGATTTTATTTCAAAAAAAAAAAAAACATATCAATGCTAGGGCGGGTGGGTGTTACAATTTTTGGAAAATTATGGTTCCTTTGCACTACCATTGAATAAATATAATATATAATATTGGATTATTCACTATTTTGTATTAAAATATTTTCTAAATTAGTTAGAAGGATATCTTTTCTTTAAAAGATAAACAAGTGTAGCATCCTTCCCGCTGCAGTCAGATGGGCGGTTGTGGATATTATAGATGATGAGCAATGACGATAGGTGGGCATCGCCACAGATACCAGGTGGTGACAACTACGACAATTATTAACAATTACTAGGGTTACATTAGTTGAGGATATGGTTATGGTTGAGTTGGGGGGGGGGGGTCGAAGACCATAATTTGACAACCATTTTACCAGTAGGCAGTGACGCACACAACTAGGGGTTCTGGTCGATTTCCCATTGGGATAGGGTTCGATCAGAGGCGGCGGACGTTCGACGACTCGAGTGTCAATGGTGGGCTAAGGCTTGCCGACAATTTCTTGTAAGTGTTTGAGGCGACGTTATGGAAGGGGTTAGACAGTGGTGAGGGAAGACAAAGTTTGGGTTTGGGGTTGTGGTTGACACTGTAGTGAGTGTGAGTAGTGGCGATGGTCACCAGAGTTTATGATGAACGAGACTATGAAATGTCACCGGGGTTTTATAGTCGCTATTGGACAGTCACTGGTTACATAGTCACTGGAGATCACTGGGGAGTTACTAGTGATGATAGTCATTGGAATGCCAGAGTTATTGAGGTGTCAGGCTCACTATGTGATATGAAGCAGAATATGGGCTTGGAAGAAGAGGGGAAGAAGCCCCCGTGGGTTTACCGAAGGCGGGACGGGCTTGAGCCTACCTTTGTGGGCTGGTTACGGGCTGTTTAATTAATATTTATTCTTTTTAATTTTCCTGATTTGTTTCCTATTAGAAGTAATTAGGATTTCTAATATTTGTTTCCTATTAGGAGTTAATTAGGATTTCTATTATTTCTTTCCTATTTGGAGTTGATTAGGATCTTTATTATTCTGTTTCCTAGTTAGAGTTGATTAGGATTTCTAGGATTTTGTTTCCTAGTTTAATTATTAGTATATGGGTATTTAAACCCCTTGTTAGGATTGATTCTGGATAATCTTGGAATAAAAGTTGGTTTAGCCTTTTGGCTCTGGGCAACGGTATTTATTTATCGTTGATTATCTGGGCAACGGTTCATCCCGTTGATTTTATTTTTCTGTTCTTATCAATTGGTCCGACCTGCCGGATCCCGTCCCGCCACAATGATGAGATCTATCAGTGAACATTTGTCAGAGATGAAGCAAACCCTGGAAGCAAACGGCAGGCGGCTGGCTGAGATTGCTGCATGCCTTGCGGCGCTGACCAAGGCCCTTGTGCCATCGATCACAACAGAGACACCATCAGACACAGTCATCGGTGCCGCCATCGTAGCGGCAACACTCAACGACGGACCTCCGGGTAGCACGCCTCCAACGTTGCTGCCCATGTTCAACAGAAAAGAAACGATTAGGTGGATAGCGAGGGCTGAGCAAAAGTTCGAAATTAATCAAACCCTACCTGAGAGGAAAGTGACAGCAGCTACGGTAGCCATGGAAGGAGCTGCCTTGGACGGGTTGACCTGGTTGAAGGCACAAAAACAGAGCATGACCTGGGAGAAATTTGATTCACGGTTCAAAGAAAGCCGATTCAAACGGTTGTTCGGGGTCAAACAGTTGGGAACCGTAGAGTAATATAATAACCTTTTTGTTCAATTGGCTAGTCAGGTTCCCGGACAGTCCGATGATTATTACTTGGGGTATTTCATGAACAAGCTGAAAAGATCAAGTGGCAGCTTTCCTCAAGATACGGGGCAGCCCCCGGGGACAAATATGAGCCAGTTTCCGGATTTCAACCTTGAGAACAAGGTTTTTTCGAAGAGAGATGGAATTGATATGAAGCAGAATATGGGCTTGGAAGAAGAGGGGAAGAAGCCCCCGTGGGTTTACCGAAGGCGGGACGGGCTTGAGCCTACCTCTGTGGGCTGGTTACGGGCTGTTTAATTAATATTTATTCTTTTTAATTTTCCTGATTTGTTTCCTATTAGGAGTAATTAGGATTTCTAATATTTGTTTCCTATTAGGAGTTAATTAGGATTTCTATTATTTCTGTCCTATTTGGAGTTGATTAGGATCTTTATTATTCTGTTTCCTAGTTAGAGTTGATTAGGATTTCTAGGATTTTGTTTCCTAGTTTAATTATTAGTATATGGGTATTTAAACCCCTTGTTAGGATTCATTCTGGATAATCTTGGAATAAAAGTTGGTTTAGCCTTTTGGCTCTGGGTAACGGTATTTGTTTATCGTTGATTATTTGGGCAACGGTTCATCCCGTTGATTTTATTTTTCTGTTCTTATCACTATGGAAGCGGGGTCAGTGGAGTGCGGAGCACAAATGGAGTCAGAGCAGCAAGAAGACATACCAAATTGCATTGTTCTAACTGCAATAAAGAATGGCACAATGCACAGATATGTTCAGATGAGCCAAATAACAAGGACAAATTGGTATACTCCTAATATTTATTACTTTTAAAAACCAACCTTTTTGTTCATTGTGCGCATTCACTTGTATGTGAGATACTTGGTCATATGGATGCTTTTGTCCTTCTAATTTATACAATAGTCCTTTGATTGGAGAGAAGTCATATGGGTCATGGTTATGTGCTTATACGAGATGAGGAGGTGTGCATCCAAAGAACAAGTGGTCGATCTCTAGTGGCAAGAGGCCTAGTGACAAACGGGAGGATGGGGAGAGCTCTTTCTCTTGGGAGAGCTTGTTTAACTCGGGCAAAGTTATGATTGATTAGAGTAGCTATGTGGTGGAAGACTTTCTTTCAAAGGGAAAGGAAATGACTTCTCAACAGGAAGAACCAAAGAAGCACAAGGTGATCGAAGTGGTTAGTGAAGAAGGTGCCCAAGCTAGCATGGATATATAGTGATGGCTCGAATTCAAAAAAAACTTGCAAGTGGCGGTGTTGTCTGGATAGCACTATCCAAAGCAATGATTGTTGACCTTTGTGTTGAGGAAGATGGATAGAGAGGAGCCCACAGCTCATTTGGTGGGGTTGGTCAAATCACACTTCCTTTGTCATTGGTTAGAAAAACTGGAACTCATTATTCTGATTTATGTTTTCTTTCCCGTAATTCTTTAGTTACATTTATAATTCATTTTAGTAGTTTGTGTGACATTGCCTTTGATGGAATTTACCATCTTGTGGAGTTATGGAGTTGGGCTAGTTGGGTTATTTCCAATCGATCTTTCAAGTCAAGTCTGTGTCTCATAAGTAATCCCAATGTAGCCTTTTCATTTGGCAGGTTTATAACTTGTTCTCCAGTGTAATTATATAAAACAAACCGTTATCTTTTGCCAAAAAAAAGTTAAATTGATCCATTTTTTGAAATTGAACTGAACATAGGGAGTAATTGTAAATTTATAATGATTCCAAATAAAAACGACCAAGCAAGAATTCGAGAACAAGAGAAAGAGAATCGTTGCAGGAGGAAATGGGATGGGGAAGGTGGATTTTCGAAGGCGTAATCGCAGTAGGCTCTCTATTGCTACTGGGCTGGACCGGGCTATGGTTCCTGAACCGGAGGCTATACAAGGAGTACGAAGAGAAGAGAGTGCTGGTTCAGATAATCTTCAGTGCCGTCTTTGCACTCTCTTGCAATCTCTTCCAGCTCGTTCTCTTTGAGATTATCCCTGTCCTCTCTAAAGAGTATTTGCTCGATCCCTTTACTCGCAAAGTTGATTTTTTTCAATTGAACTTTCTTAATGACGCGCTACTATTTACATTTATGAAGTTCATGTTAGTTATTTTCATTATTCGGTTGAGATTTATGTAAGAGTTGGGTAGTGCATCTGTCACCCTTGGTGGAATATGGGAATTTCATGGTAATGTGGACTAGTCAGTTGTAGATGCATAGCTGCAGTGATCATGAACCCTCTTTTGTTTAAATGAAGTGTTTCCTTCCCCGTGGATAAGTTCTTAGGGCTTGATCAAAATATTAATACATTAATTTTCAGCACAGACATTTGAATATGCTTAATTTCTTGTTTGATTCTAGGGCAAGATGGATAAATTGGAAGGTGGACTTATTTTGTTTGATAATGCTACTAGTCTTCATGTTGCCTTACTACCATTGTTACTTGATGCTTTGCAATAATGGTGAGTTTAGTATTTCATCACTGGACATCTTGGTGGATAATAATTAGATTAGTGAACTCTCTTTCCTTCACATCCCCAACCCAACCTAACCTTACTCCGTCTCCATCCCATATTATTTTAAGATGTCCTAAAATTAGGATTCACATATCAGGCGTGAGGAAGCAGAGGGCTACTTTTGCTGCTACCTTGTTCTTGATGGCATTCCTATATGTGTTTTGGCGCATGGGCATTCATTTCCCAATGCCTTCTCCTGATAAAGGTTGGGCTGTTTTTTAATATCTGTATCATTAATAAATACTCCATCCATCCCTAAAAGTTCTCCCCACTTCCTTTTTTGCATGTTCCAAGACTTGTCCCCATTTCCTTGTAAGGAAATACTTGTGTGGTTGATACCGTTTCATTCCTTTTAAAATATTTCTCAATCACACAATACCATTTTCTTCATTCGTGTGCCTAAGAAAATAGAAAGAACTATTGGGAAAAATGGAAAGAACTTTTGGAACATATGAAGCATACAGTTTTTATTTTTTAATTTGTTAAAATTATTCCAGATATATTTGTAATAATAATGATTTATTTGAAACTGAAGTTGGGCTTGTTTATGCTTGTATCTATATTTACTCACTCTTTGACTCTATCTGTTTTTGTTAGATATTTGGAAATAATATTTACTTGCTGACAGTGCTATGTTTTTATTAGTTCAACTGGATAGTTATTGACCCAATTAATAACAGCTTATAATTGGATTTCTCTAGTTCTATTTGTTAACAGTATGACTCCTTTTATTTTTATGGATCTTTATTTTCCATCTGCTGCTTCTTAGTTACTGGGATTTGTATTCCAGGATTTTTTACCACTCCTCAGCTAGTGAGCAGAATTGGAGTTTTTGGCGTGACTCTCATGGCTATACTTTCAGGCTTTGGGGCTGTGAATTTACCATACAGTTATCTATCTTTATTCATTAGGTAAGGGTGGTATACTGGTATGGGGCAGGATGGTAGGGAGCAGCTTTCTAAATTAATTAATTGATGCAAGAGAAAGATACTTCCTCCGTCCAGAAAAATGTCTCTGTCCTTTCTGGTTTGTGCACAAATAAACTTCTCATATCCTTTTCTGGAAAGGATTGTGTGGTTGGTATAGTTTTTTTCATTCCTAAATAAACATCAACCACGCAATTTCATTTTCTCTTGCCCAAAGCAGTAAAGCACACAGTAATGTTCGGTTACAGAGGGAGTTTCTGAAACATGACAAGTAGAGGGTTTTCTTTAACTCTCCGTTCAAAATGTCTGTAGTTAAGGTTATTTCGCACTACCTCCAAGGCTCCAACTCCTCTTTTGAGTTGCATAGATTTGGAACTGTGTGGTTGATATCTGTTCAGGAGAAAGAAATTATATCAACCGCATAGTGCTTACCTTAAAAGGTTTTTTTAATGGGCATAAAAGAAAGAATGAAGATGAAAAATGGACAAAGTGAGTACAAAATTAAGCAATTCATGTAACTTGTATAATTGTGTTAGAGGTTAATTAAATAACCGCATTACTCTCTCAATAAAAATAAATGAAATCTATCACACAAATTTAAGAGAAGCGCAAAGTTGGGGAAAATATTGAATTCATCTTGAAAAATGAAAAGTGACAGATATTTTGAAGGGAGAAATTATATCCAAAGCGACCGTTATTTTGAAATGGAGCCAGTAGTTCATTAATCTGTGTTGTTTGTGCTTAATTTAATGGGATAACAAAGAGTGCTCAATACATTTTGTTGTTGGTTGTCTGTTGTCTACTTGTTTGGTTACAGTAGTGACAAGTATTGCTCTTATGTGGCAGAGAAATTGAGGAATCAGAGATCAAGGCAGTAGAAAGACAGCTAATTCAGTCAATTGAGACCAGCATTGCCAAGAAAAAGAGAATCATTCTTTGCCAAATAGAAATTCAGCGTATTCAAGGAGCGGAAGAGGTATAATTATGTTTCCAACTTCCATCATTTTTTTGCTTTTTCAATTTTATCTACCTGTTCAATTTTGAATCAGATGGGAAGTTCAAAGATAAACCGTAATTTCGAGGAAATATAAATGTCGCTGTCCTTTTGTTTTTTATTTGTTTTTGGTATGGTGATGCTTTAAAAGAGGTCAGATGGGTTGACAGAGAAGTGGGATTATTTTACGTGGCTTTGATGATTTTGAACTTGTTGCCTGTGTTGCAGAAAACAAATGCTAGTTCTTTCCTGAAACGAATTGTAGGAACAGTTGTGCGATCTGTTCAAGATGATCAAAAGGAGCAGGGTTAGATTTTGCCACTAACTACATGCACACATCTTTATTCTTTACTATCAATTTATCAAGTTTGATTATTGCATAGTGGGTTGAACATAAACAGTTGTATTATAGGTTGTTTCTCGATGTGGCGAGCTTATTCAAAATTCAAATATATTCATTCGATGAGTCCATAATTTTACATGCTCTTTTGTTGAAGATATAAAAAATATGGAAGCTGAGGTTCAAGCTTTGGAAGAACTCACGAAGCAACTTTTCTTGGAAATTTACGAGCTTCGCCAAGCTAAGGTTCATATTAATGTGTCATTGTGTCTCTTCTAGAAATTACTGTTCCTATTCTTTTAAAGATATTTTAAAGCATCCATAAGATTTATTTGGCTGAAATAACTGAGTCTATCTAGAAATGTTCTGTGCGGGGCAACATTTGGTAAATCAGTTTCAGCCAAAAATGCAAGTCAAAGGCTACTTATTCTGATTATTCTGCTGATAAGCAGAATAAGCTTTTTAATGCTACCACATGGGGTCGTTGTCATAAAGTATAGTCTTTAGAAGATTACTACTGAAATATGCATGAAGGGTTGTTTGGACCTGCATGACATGCTTCTTTTACTACTTTCTCTTTCTCACGCACACGCAGCATTTCTTAAATCTTCATGATTGTTGTTTCAACTTCCCCTTGGTAGGATGTGAATTGCAACTTCGGTTGCACTGTTATTCGGGTTCATTTTTTGGGATCAGCAATAGGCCAATAGTATATGATCCAGAACTACTATATCATGTAACTCACCAATTTATAAATGTATTTCAGGAAGCTGCTGCCTATTCCCGTACATGGAAAGGTCACATGCAGAATCTCTTGGGTTATGCTTGTTCTGTCTATTGTGTGTATAAAATGATTAAGGTAAAAAAATACTTATTATTCTGTGAAAATGACTTGAAAATTAGCATTCATCATAAGCATGATTACTCTTTCCAATATCTTGTCTTTACAAATTCTACTTCAGTGTTTGATGCAATTTCACTGTTTAACTGTGACCCTATATTCTTGGAGAAGTCGTTAAGAAAATGCTAGAAAAGGATTAAGGAACACACGTAGCAGAATAAAGTGGTAACTCGGAAGGAAAAAGATACTGGGGGGATAAAAAAATTAGTTCAAAGTTCAAATTCAATAAATCAATTTGAGATACTTGTTGAAACTCATTATATATATTTCTATTATATATAAGTCTGTGTATGTAAGATATAGATCAAATTTGATTTTCCTTCTTACTTTCCAGTACAATGTTGTTTGTGCCACTAGCCCACAACTGTAAATTTAGGTCATTGATTAGTCAATTTTATTTTTTTGCAGTCTTTGCAAAGTGTTGTCTTCAAGGAGGTATGCTTTTCTAGAACTTCTTCAATCTCTCTAGTGGCTAAGATTCTTTTATAGTTATGCAGTTTTCCCCATGATTTCCTTGTCAGGATGGTTCTATTGATCCAGTGACGCGGACAATCAGCATATTTTTGCAATTTTTCGACATAGGAATAAATGCGACATTGTTGTCACAGGTTTTTTCTATTGCAACTCTGTTAATGCGATTATTAAGATATTACGATGTTGAGAAGCCAGAGATTTATTTATCTTCGAAAACTAAACCACAAACGTTTCTTTAATAATGTAATATTTGTTATTTATATGAGATAATTCCCAAAAAACGAGTAAAACATGGGAGTTATGCAAAAATAGTAGGGTTTTAAAAATTCCCCAAGTGGGAGTATTTTCTTCTAAATGGACAAGAATGCCCCTGCCATTGCTGCTGCCTCCTGCCCGCTGCATAGTACCGCTGGACGCTGGAGTTTTCCAGATCTGCTGCCACCGCCGTCAGAGCTCCGGTGATGCCAAAAAAAATTCAGATTTTCCCCCGATCTACCTGCCACTGTCGCCAGAGCTCCACCGTCACCCAAAAAATTCCCAGAATGTTTCTTCCACCATCTGACACCACCACCGCTGGTCGCCAGAGCTCCGCCACCGCCTGCCACCAACACCAACGGACTGCCCCGGTTTCTCAAAGGAACTTGGGGGGGGGGATTAATTAATTAGAATAGGGGTATTTGGGGTAAAAAATTAATGTTTACTCCTATTTGGGGAAGCTTAGGAGTTAACTCCTACTTAGGGAAAAGTGGTATGTTTTACTCCTATTAAGGGCAATTACATTATTTATATTCATCAGTTACTTTAGAACAAGATTTGGCTTACTACTTTTCTCTTATGTGCAGTATATATCACTCTTATTTATTGGGATGTTGGTTGTCATATCTGTCAGGGGTTTTTTGACGAATTTGATGAAGGTATATTCACTATTCACTATTGTCATTCAGGGTTGTTTGGTCTGCAGATAGATAATCTATACCATAATTGTAGGGTTTTATCTGATTGATTAGGTGAGTTAGGTGGAAATCCCACGTAAGAGAGCAGGGACTTAGGGTCAGCTTGGATGGAGGTTTTGGGTGGATTAAATCTATATCTTGATATATATTTAAAATTTTATAGAGAAAAAGGAAGGAATAACATGATCTCAACTTTAGGATCATTCTATTTATTATATAGATTATAAGCTTGTTTGGCATGACATAAAACGGCTGAAGTGGTTTATTCATTTAAATTTGTGGCTGAAATGACCCAGATCTGCTGAACTATCTGACAAAATTACTTGGTTTTTTTTATTTAAATTAAAGAAAACAATATCAACAAATGAAGGTTTAAATGTCAGTATTTTGAATTTTGGGTAATAAGATAACTCTTGCATTGCTTTTTCACATTACCAGCTGGTTCAGCCAGCAGAATCAAATAAGCTTGTGTTTGGGGAAAAGTCTTTCTGATAAGCCAAAAATGCACACCAAATGAGCCCTGAGTCTGCCAAATCCTTCCACTCTAGAACCCCCCATCCAATCTGAGAAGCATCATACACAACACAATGAACATGACTGTACATTATTTCTGCATCGCTATCCGAACTGCGTCGCACTTGAGCAATTTTTGTGTTATGTGCACACAGTTCTTCTTTGCAGTCTCAAGAGTTGGGAGCGGGTCGTCTAGCAACGTGGTGCTTTTCCTGTCTGAAATAATGGGAATGTATTTTGTGTCCTCTATTCTCTTGATCAGAAAGAGCCTCGCAACTGAATATCGGTAATGTTTGCTTTTGCTCTTCTCCAGAAAGAAAACTGATTGAAGAGAGTTGACATGTCAGGGGCATTAATTGATATTGTGTGGTGTATTGGATGACTGTACAGGATGATCATAACAGACGTGCTGGGAGGGGACATCCAGTTTGACTTCTACCACAGATGGTTTGATGCCATATTTGTAGCCAGTGCTTTCCTTTCCCTGCTCTTACTCTCTGCACATTACACATCCCGCCAGGCAGACAAACACCCGATTGATTGATTAACACCCAGCATATATTTTTTACAATGCGAGATGATCTGTGTACAGTGCCCAGAATGACTCAGCAGCAAATAGTAAATAACCTCAGAATTCAACAACAATGCATCTTAATCATAGTATAAAGCTATGTTTTTTTTGTTTTTGTTTTTTTGAGTGTAAACAATTATTGGTCATCTGATACTTCCTACATTTACCCCTCCCCAACTATTGTCTTGTTTCATTGCTTTGAACATGGGGCCAATTAGTTGGGGAATGGGAGTGCCTTTTTTCCACAATTCCGCATACTCCTTGCATTCGCATTTACTTGCTCCTAGGCAGGGACCCAGTTCCGGTCTCAGACTGGCCAGTTCCGGTGTCAAAGTAAGGAAGACCGGCCGGTTTTACTACTATTACCAAGAAGTCCACCAATTGGTAAAAAACAACCAAATTGGATTTTTCATAGGTAATCAACTGGTTTCAAGTTGAATCGCTTACCCTAGTTAGTTTTTTTCCGTTTAAAACATGTACCGTTTTTTTGAACAAAAAAACGTGTTTAAAACGAAAAATAATGTCTACCCGTTTAAATAGAAAAAAAACTTCTACATTGGTACATCCTGTATAAAACGTATATTTCCCGTATTTTACAAAAAAATATAAACATGATTTGAGCAATTGAATGAATACATCAAATGAATAGGAGATCAACAATAGTTTAAAAGCAAAAAAGAAAGTCTCATCCCCATAACCCCGTGTTTTTGTATTGTTACATTACAAAATATACAACCGTTAAATACTAAATTAATTGCATGATGATTAAAGCTAGCATCTTAAAAGACTAAAACCTAAAATACTACTCCCTCCGTCCCAAAATGATGGTTCTGTTTTCCTTTTTAGGATGTCCCAAAACAATGGTCTTGTTTCCCTTTTGATAAAGAACTAAAAGTGGATTACAATTTGTACCCCTCTTTTTCAATGAACAATAAAAGTAAAAGTATGAACAATACAATAAAGTAAGGTTCTTTAGTCTTTCTATCACACTTTCTTAATCTTTATGCCCAAAAGAAACAAGACTCTCATTTTCTGACGGAGGGGTACTACGTATTAGATACTTCCTCCGTTCTTCAATAAGTGCAACATGTTAAATTTTACACTATTCACACGTTCTACTTTGATTTTGCTTAATTAAATAATGTTTTAATATATTTTCTTGAAAAAAATATTGATAAATTTTCAAAATCTATTTTTTATTTATTTTTAATTAATAAAGAACTATATATTTATATATTAAAGAAATATATATATATATATATATATATATATATATATATATAGTTCTTTATTAATTAAAAAAAATTAAAAAATAGATTTTGAAAATTTATCAATATTTTTTTCAAAGAAAATATATTAAAACATTATTTAATTAAGCAAAATCAAAGTAGAACGTGTGAATATATATATATATTAATGGTCAAAGTTGTGCCTCGACAAGTGTGAAATGTTGACCGTTGCACTTATTTAAGAACGGAGGAAGTATGCGATGTTCTTTTCCAAACAAGCATATCAAAATTAAGGTTTTTCTAAGCTTGACATTTTTATTGTACTTTTACACATAAACAATAATATGTGTAGCAGTCACACAACTTTCTCATATGTCATCCGTCATCTAGGTGAAAATGATGAGTTTAACTTGAGTGTTTTATGATGATCATATAAATATGATGATGATGTTAACTTGGGTCTCATTCTATTGTTATTATGCCTTATTTTTTTACATTACTTTGCAAAATTGTATCTTGGAGTTGAATAGTATTTTTACTTATGTCATCGACTTATACAATGACAAATTATTCTGTTATGTAGTAATGTGATTTGCTACTTCAATATGTGTGCACTCTCATTTCTTTTTATTATATGTTATTTTATGAAGTATATAATTTAAATGTTATTTTGGACTTTATTACTATTTCTTTTTTTGTCATGAACTTATGCTATTATGAATGCACTTTTGATGGAGTAATGAGATATTCTATTTGAATGTGTGTATTTTGATTATCCTTTATGTACTAAATGTTTTTTAAGCTCTAAAAACTAGTACAATAATTTAAGCATTCAAAATAAGACCCGTATTTTTAATCCAAATTTTTGTAAGAGATGTCGTATTATACACGTATACGTATTTACACGTTTTTTAAAAGTCAACGTAATTTTGCCAAATTTTTTACCGTATTTTTTGTTCGAGTTACCGAATAAAACACGTACGTATTAAACCACGTTTAATTCTCGTAACGTATTTAACTAATAATTTTTTTTGGATGAAATGTAAATATATATTAACACCCAGAAAAACTATACATCACATATTCTAGATCTCCTAACCCCCCCCCCCCCCCGCCCCCACATAATGTGAGGATGGAATGAGGTTTTTATTTGATCTAAACTATGCCAAAATAGCCAAGTATAATACTTGGCTCATCAAGAGGTTCAAAAAAATACATCGATGCTGGCCATGTACGCACACAGATCAGAGGCTAAATTCTAAACAAAGTACAAAAAGTGTTGCTAAATCAAACACTATAAAGTCTAAGACCATGCTTCATGTCGCGGCATCCATGATGTCCATACCGCGGTTTACCAGTACCCAAGCCGCGGCATCCATAATATCCATGCCTTGACTCACCAAACCAACATGTAGCGGTCTATCCAAAACCGCGACATCCATAATACATGCCACGGCCTTCCACTTAGAAAGTAATCAAGTCACGCGGGTATAAATTGAAAAGTATTTTATACACCACATGCTTAATTTTTGCAATGACTTCCTCTTCCTTGACGTCCCCTTCATCGAATAGGTTGATATTCCTAGCGTGCCAAAGGTAGTAAGCCGCGGCACAAAACGCAATCCGAACAGCTTTCCCTTTGATCTTTGATCTTTTATGATCCTTCAAGATCCATTTGACGGAGCTGCAAAGCATGGTCATCTCTCGATCCATGCCCAACCATTCTTTAATTTTTTCCCAGACCCTACAAGTGTAATGACAACGAAAGAATAGGTGTGGCATTGTTTCCAATCCACCCTTGCACAAGTCACATCGATTAACAATATGTAGGTAACCCAGGTTATCCTGAGTAGGTAACCGGTTCCTCATAGCAAGCCAAACATTGAATGAAAATTTCGGAGGGATATAAGACTTCCAGATGAAGCTCATCCACACTCGCGGCGATCCTTTAATTCTCAACAATTCATAAATCTTTCCGGAAATGAGTTTACCATTAATGGATCTACTATTTAGGCCCATAATGGTATCATTCAAATTGTTAAAGCATCCCAAAATTTGGTCCCGGATGTGACTCAATTTCTTCATGAACATTGAGTCACGATTGTGTGGGATAAAATCCCACACGCTCCTACCATTAAGGTACGCCCCATTTACCCACCTCACCCACAAGGTGTCTTTCTTCCTATGGACATCCCTAAGTGTTCGAGAGAGAAGAGCATGGTTCCAAATCTTGGCATTATGAATGCCAAGGCCCCCCTCCTCTTTTGGTAGACAAATGTCGTCCCAAGCCACTTTAGAATATTTCCCATCCCATAGAAAAATTCGACAAATAGAAACTATCGTATCTAGGATTGTTTGGGGGACCGGAAAAACTTGGAGCCAAAAAGATTGGACCCCTTGAATCACGGATCTTATCAATTCTAGTTTTCCGGCAAAGGATAAAGTCTTTGTGTTCCAAGCCTTTAAAAAATACGAAATTGTATCAAGCAACGGTGAATATTGCGCCGCAGAAACCTATAGAGGGGCAAGTGGAATTCCGAGGTATTTAACCGGGAATGTGCCATGCCCAAAGTCCACAAGGGCCATGATCTCCAAAAATGTTTGGAGATCATTTTCATCAACTCCACCTACAAAAATGTTTGACTTATCATGATTCACTTTAAGGCCCAAAGCATCCCCAAACTCTTCAAGGGCTTTGACAAGTATTTCAATTGAATAAGTGTCGCCCCGAGAGAAGAGTATTAAGTCATCTGCATAGGCTAAGTGTGTCAATCCAAGTTTCTCACATTGGGGATGAAATTTAAAATTTGTCATCAGAGAATTGCTTGCCGACCGAGAACTTGAATACGCAGCTAAAAATCTACAGGAAATCTAAAAAAAAAAGGCGTCACAGCTTGACAACTACTACCTCCGTCCCTTAAAACTTTTCCAAGTTTGACCGGCACGAGAATTAATAAAGTAAAAACTGTGTGGTTGATGTTTGTGCAGAGGAGAGAGAATTAACTAGAACCACAAATTCTTTACTTAAAAGGGAAAGTGGCAAATTTAGTGGGACATGCAAAAAAGGAAAGTTGGCAAAGTTTTAAGGGACGGAGGGAGTAGGTCCCAATCCAGAGATTTCCCATGGGATTAGCTATTTTTCCTTTTGTTATGTTTTTCATTTATAATTTTCTTTCATGTACTTTTATTTTATTTTTTTCCGTTCTGCTTTGTACTCTTATTTTATTTCAATAAAATGTCCTTTTTCAAAAAAAAAAAAAAAAAAAAAGATACGGACTGAGAAAGAAAAGAAAACAAAAAAATAGAAAAAGTAAAAAAACCACTGGACAATCCACGTAGGCGGTCAACCGGGAAACCGGTTGATTACCTATGAAAAAGTCAATTTGATTAATTTGTAGCAGTTGGCGGACTTGATTGATTCGTTAAAAATTATATGGACTTAATTGACTTTTTGATAATAATAGATGAACTTATTTGACAGTTTTCCCTTTATTTTTCATCTGCAAGACAAAAAAAAAGTGGCCGGTCTGGAACTAGGACCGGAACTGCCCCAGTCCTCAAAAATGAGAACCGGGACTGCCCTCAGGGCCGGTTCTGGGGCATGGGCAATGGGGCATACGCCTAGGGCCCATAAATTTCGCAGTTATATAGATTACTTAAATGCATTATATATCTATAAAAATTTAAAAATAAATTTTAAATTTGAATTCATTATTCAACAACATCTACATGCTACAAGTCTAAATTTTAAAATATCAACACCAAAATTCATTGGGAACAGATTTCACCATTTCTTTTCTTCATTAAGGATTAATGCATAAATTTTAATCTTTCCATCTACTTCTCTCATGTAAACTCATGATTCATTGATACTAGTATTTTATTAATTTTCTTTGATTCTCGCATATAAGTGAAATATTAAGTTATAGTATATAGAGTTTAGAAATCTGTAGTATGTTTTAGTCTAGTGAAAATGTGATCTAAAATATGAAAACGTTACTCCATATACGATACAACTTTCATGACTTTCTGTAATTCATTTTTTAAATTGCAATTAACAATTGTAGTACTTTTTCATTTGACGGGTTTAGGTACATAGTATTCTCGAATGTAACTCTTATCAAATATTTAAATATAATCTTTCTAACCGTCTTATTTATTAATTTCTTTGATGTATTATATTCAAATATAGATGCCAAAATTGCTTAATTTTAATTATAGTTCTTACTTCGTATAAGAAAAATAAGCATTCACATGTTCTATAAGGCCTACTCTATATGTACTGTCCCGGGCCCATAAAATGTCAGAACCGGACCTGACTGCCCTTTACCCGGTTCAGTCCGGCATAATACCACACCCGGTTCCGTTTGGTCTGGGACTGCCGACTGGGTCCACCCCTAGTTGCTCTCATTTATTCACATCTATAGATAATACAATTGAAAGATACGATTATGGAAAGTTTTGACACATGTCAATTCCACAGTTATTTGTTTTAATATTACTTTCCAAATAAAAGAAAGCGAAAAGGTGCAAATAGGCTCATGTACTAACAAAAAAAGATCAAATAAGCCCTTATTTAGGAGGTTCTATCCGTCCGTCGTCATCTCAGGTGGTTCCCGGTGGAATTTTTTGATGAAAATTTTTTAGCATCTTATTCATCAAGTCTAGTTTACCCATACCAAATTTCAGCTAAAACTTCAATCGGGAAGGCATTCAAATGAATTCTTGAAGATAACTGCGCTTCTAACTGCACAGTTATTTTCAAAAATTCATTTGAATGTCTTCCCGATTGAAGTTTTAGCTGAAATTAGGTATGAGTAAAATAGACTTAATGAATAAGATGCTCAAAAAATTTCATCAAAAAATTCCACCGGGAACCATTCCAAATGGCGACGGCCGGACAGTGCCTCCTAAATAAGGGTTTATTTGACCTTTTTTGGTTAGTACATGGGCCTATTTGCACCTTTTCCCTAAAAGAAATCTATAACTATGCACCACTATATTTCGGTAATTCATATACGAGTACTACTCCAAGTACTACTCCAAACTAAAATACAACTCCTATTATTTAGGGATCCACCAAAATAAAATTCCATGTTTTTTAAAGTGTCATAACTTTTTTATTTGTAATCTGATTATTACAAAAAATATATCAATATTCATAACTTTTTATTATCTTTCAAATGACACCAATATTGAATACAAAAAATTAAAAAAATAATTTAACACTTTAAAAACATTTGTTTCTCAAAGTGATATAACTTCTTTATTTGTATTTCAATTGTTGCAAAAAATATATCACAAATCATAACTTTTTATTATCTTTCATATGACACTAATATTGAATATATAAAGATAAAAAATATTTGTAACACTTTAAAAACATATATTTCTTAAAGTGATATAACTTTTTTATTTGTATTCCGATTGTTACAAAATATACGGAGTATATCACAAATCATTACTTTTTATTATCTTTCATATGACACCAATATTGAATATATAAAGATAAAAAATAGTTTACCACTTTAAAAACATATGTTTTTTAAAGTGCTACAGAGTATAATTTTTGGTAGTTTCTATGGTACCCATAAGGTACCACACCTTTGTCCACATGGACCAATGAAAAGGTAGTAATTCAATTATTTAAATCTAAATTAAAATTGATAAAGTGATGTGGTCCAATCAAATGAATGCTAGGTACGGTACCCCTGTTTTTAGAAAGGTACCGGAGTTGTCACCATAATTAAATACTAAGCCTCATTTAATGAATATTAATAGCAAATTTTATTAATATTTAATAAAAACTTTAAAAATACAATTATGAATAGAAATTTTGGTGCATTCGATAAGAATTCATAGTTCTATACGTTATTTATGTACAATTTTCTCAATGTCCATCGATGAGACATTTATCATACAAGACCATGTTATATCAGATCGAATCAGATCAAACTAGAAAATTTTAGTTTTCAATTAAAAACATTTTTAAAGGAGTCCTCCCTAAAATTTAGAAATCCATATTAGATTGAATAAATCTCCCAAAAGATTTTATGCATTCTAATGTCTTGATATACTTAAGGTACATGTATTCCAAATGTAAAACAAGTATTGAAAATTTTAAAATCTTATTTTTCATATGGAGTATTTCTTTGATTTCAAAATATAATAATATTAAAAATTCTATCCGTGCCGTCAAATGATGTGAACAAAATTAAAAACACAATATTTATGTTTATTTGTTAAAAAGAACTTATTTTGGAAAGCACAAAAAATCTAAAGAGACTGGTTTTTTAACCCCAGGGGGCGTCGGGGGGGAGGGGGTTTGGGGGGGCCTAGGGTAAACTATTGCATGCAAAATAAATTTAATAGCTATATTAATGTTGCTAAACAGTAACTTCAGTCGATCAGTCACAACTACGTGTTTGGTAAAAACGTTGTTGATAAGCTGAAAACAAGGGTTGCCAAACGGGCTAATTGCTAGATTAGGGCTATGTTTGGCATTTCGAGTCGTAAGTGGAGGCTAATGTCTGAACTTTTAAGAGATATTGTCTGAACTAGAAAATATTGTCTAGAGCCGAATTTTGATATGTTGCATATATCTAAACTATAATTACTTGAATGAGGTAAATCTGTTTAACAAAAAGAGATGAAATGCTCAGATAAATTGACCTGACCTGATCAGATCAGAATAGAAAATCAGACAAAAAACAGTCCATTAAAAACATTTCTATGAAGTCCTCAATAAAATTTAATTTAGAACTCCGTGTTAGATCAGAATTCAACAAATCTCATGAGTAAAATTCCGAGTTAATTAGTTTATTATGGAGTTAATTGCAATACAAGCGGAAGTGAGGCATGCATACAAAACCAAATTAACTTATTATGAAGTTAATCAATCATATATTAAAAATATTCATGTGTAAATTTTCATTTGTCACCAAATTTGATATGGTGACACATAATTTGGTACTAAAATACAAAAAGGGACTACATAAATTATACAAATAACCTCAAAAACTAATTCCTTGATTAAGATCTAATTGAGAAAACAAATATAAAAGGCATTTCAAAATCATGAATACGAATTTTATTCACTGATTTTGGTGGTTTGCCTTCCGGGTTAAAAAAAAAGAATTTTATTCACGTAGGAATTTATGCATTGAGGTCATTTAACTCTATAATTCAATGTATCAAATGAGTCAAGGTAAAAGTAAGATATGTTTAATAACTCCAAGCCACCAACATCTTAATGAGATTGTTGAGCTATGATAGAATTGCATAGCCCATGATACTCATTTTCCTATTTTTAACCACACACATACAACATTCATAATGTCATCATATATTTGAAAATTAAACTCAAATTTTCATAAATTATCATTGGACCATACTATAAGTTCGATAAAATTTATTTTACCTAATAAAATCATATTATCCTCAATAACTCAATCTAATGAAAAATAAATTGAATGCTACCAATCACAATATGCAGCCTATTGTCGTCGATATCGCCTTGATTAAAATACAAATGTCACAAAACTATACATAGTATATTCTAAAAACTTCTCTTGAAGAAAAAGATTGAATGACTAATTTGCAAAATTCTAAAACCTATAAGGGCTAATATCTTTAAAACAAATTAACTACACGAATGAAATTTAAATAAAAAACATGCATTGAACATTTTCTTTCTTTAGATAACTATAGTTAAAAAGATTAATTTCATTTGGATGCAACTGAGATTTATAAAAATGCTTTTTCATTAGAAAATATCGATTGCAAACACATTTAGATAATTAGTTCAAAAATATGACATACTCAATAAATTAGAATATGTAATATAAACCAAAGTTATTATCGACTAAACAAGTGACTTTCCATTAGTAAAACTCAAAGCAAAATCGTTCTAACCCGTGCACGGCACGGGTAAACATACTAGTTAGATACATTTCGAATGATTTTACCACTCTAATTACTCTCAACTCTTCTGCCCTGAACTATCATTATCAAACTTCAAAATATCTATAAGTGAAGTATGTAAACCTAAATAGAATTCTCGAAATGAAAAAGTTATACGGAAAAGGTCCCAAATTCGATCTGGAATCTCAATCCGCGGCCAGATCTGCTCTACAACGGCGATGTAGCAGTGATTTGCGGTCAAGAAAGGTGAAGAAGAAGAATAAAGTTCTGGTTGTTGCAGCAAAGATGCGAGGCAAGGCTCAGAGAAGCGACCAGTGGAGAGGAGCCGTTGCCGTGGGAAGAGAAAAGGTGCATCGACTCTGTGTAGGGATGAAGGACGACCGGTGTGGCGCCGTGGCCAGTGGCTTATGGCGGAGGAGAGGAAGAAGCGCGATGGATGGCCGTGCTGAGAGCAATTGATCGCCATGACCAAGCTGGGAGCTCAAATCGCTATGGGGAAGAGAGAAGGCGATGCGTAAGATATGCGGAGTATTATAAAAGGCGATGTTTTTGTCAAAATATAAATCACTCATATTTTGGGAAATGAAAAGTCATTTAGTTATTACCGTGCCATTTTTTCTATTAAATTACTTGTGTCACAAATCACAATATCATTTATCGTTAGGAATCGCTCTAGGATAAAAGAGACAATGTGTTTAAAGTCAACACACACTTTTTGGCGAAGAATGCGAACGCAAATCTAAATGATAATAGTTGTCACACAGAGTTTACTTGTACAATTTTATTTATTTACTGTACTTCAATGTGATCAAAACGAACTCCAATTTATTGGGAAGGAGATCACAAAATATGAAGACATTCACTTGATACTCAGCACTTCCACGGCCTTCTGCTTAAGGATACACAATCTCACATTCTGGGAGCGGCTAGCTGTACAACAATGGCAGATGCACCTCCTCCCCCATTGCATGCGCTCCCCACCCCATATTTCCCTTTCTTCTGCTTCAGCACCTGACCCCCCCCCCCCCCCCCCCACCACACACATACTCACCCAAATTAATTACACGTAACTTCATATGCGTAGAAATCAGTCGTGACACTAGAATCTCTAAAATGAACACCCCATATAAGAATTATCTCTAAATTACAAGTTATAATTCCTTACATCTCCATGCTAAGAAACTTAACCTCTACATATTAAGGAGTAATATTTATGTACAAACACACAAACACGCACAGATTTCTTTAGAGTGTTGAAAATATACAAGTTATGTTTTGCTACTATACACTTTCCTTGCATTTTTATGTCTACTCTATAAAGATTATGCACCCAGCTCACATCTCAACAAGTTTCACGCCCTATAGTTTCTTATTCTTTACACACATAAACTCCCTTTTTATACAAACTATGTTGGTGATTTTAGTGTCACCGGCCATTTTGTGTAATTGGAAATGACATGAGTGCCAATGGGAATTAGAACTATGATCTAATACAAGTTAGTAGGTGTGGAGTGCACACTTGTATATAAGAACTAGTTTAGTTCCAAAGTGTCTACGTTAGTGGAACTTGAGGTAGAACTCGAGGTATAACTTTCAGTAGACCAGCTCTGTGGTTCTAGACCGAGTTCTAGAACGGTTAGGCAGTTTCCAGCAGTTTCCCAAAACTGCTGCGGTTATTCTTAATCGTGTTACTACTGCCTAGGACGATGAATATGGAGACATACCACCATATTTCGTACAGAGGAGAAGGAGGAAACATATCCAACATATCTTCATCACTTTGGCACTCAAATTAAAGATAACAATCCATATACTCACTAGTTTGGCTCTAGTTCTTGTGCCTAAGTTCTAGAGTGTCCTTAAGGATTATCCTAGATTGAATTTCCTGTAACCCAGGCATAGGGGAGAAATATCAATTCGGAAAGTGAACTTACACGATCCTTAAGCAATCCAAGTACTCAAATTATCACCCCCTACGTGATTTACCCCAACAATCGAATTGATATTCCTTTGTGATAATCATGAGTACCGTGGAAGAGATGACATCCAAGTTCAACAAATTGGACAAGTTTCAAGGCACTGATTTCCGTAGATGGCAGAAAAAGATGCACTTTCTTCTCACCACGTTGAAGGTTGTGTACGTGTTGAGCACTCCAATGCCGGAGGTGATGGAAGATGAAACCTTGGAACAAACTAGGAGGCGCAACAAGTGGGAGAACGATGACTACATATGTAGAGGCCACATCCTTAACGGTATGTCTGATGCGTTATTTGATATTTACCAAAACGTTGAGAGTGCTAAGGAATTGTGGAATTCTCTTGAGTCAAAATACATCGCCGAGGATGCTTCTAGTAAGAACTTCTTGGTGAGTGATTTTAATAATTATAAAATGGTTGACTCAAGGCCGGTTATGGAACAATACAATGAACTCCTTCGTGTTCTTGGTCAATTTAAACTCCACAAGATAGGTGTTGATGAGTCCTATGCCGTGTCGAGTATAATTGACAAACTTCCACCCTCTTGGAAGGATTTTAAACGTTCTTTAAAACATCAAGATGAGGAACTGTCCTTGGTTCAACTTGGGAGTCACTTGTGCATTGAGGAGAATCTTCGTGTGCAAGAGAATGAATAAATTATGGGTGAAGTTGAATCTAGAATGGCTCATGTTCACTTGGTTGAGGATAATAAATCTAACCCGAAAGATAAGGGGAAAGGCAAAAAACGCAAGTATGAAGACCATGACAAACCCAACAAGAAACCGAAAGGTTTGGTTTGTTAGAGGTGTCAAAAGGTTGGACATGTCAAGCGTGATTGCCGTGTGAAACTGAACAAGAATGGCGCTGGAACGAGTGGCAGTGGACAGGAACGGTCTAAGGACCTGGTTCCACGGAAAGGAGGTCAGTTCCTGACTAACTTTGATAATTCTGTCCAGAATTATGTATCACTCATTCCAGAATCTTTTTATGTACAGTATGATGACTGTGCATGGTGGATTGACTCGGGGGCTACGAGCCATGTGTGTAAGGATAAAGGATGGTTTGAAAACCTAGAACCAGTGGAGGTCGGTTCCTTATTACGCATGGGAGACGAGTCAATGGTGCCTATCTTGGGAAAGGGTGTAGTTGTTTTAGAATTTACTTCTGGGAAAACAATTACGTTGTTTGATGTTTTGTATGTACCGAAGGTTCGAAAGAATCTTGTTTCGGGAAGTATGTTGAATAATTTAGGGTTCAAACAAGTGATTGAATCCGATAAATATATTCTGTCCAAGGGTGGTGTGTTTGTTGGTTTTGGATATTTATCAAATCGCATGTTTCGTTTAAATGTTGTGAATAAATTAATTTCTAGTGATAATTCTGTTTTTGTGGCATCTTCCATGAATGATTGTATGATTTGGCATGCTAGATTAGCTCACATTAATTTTAGGAAAATGCATGAAATGTCTAAAGATGGTTTAATTCCTGCTTTTGATATTAATGATGATAAGTGTAGGACTTGCATGCTTACTAAGATCACAAAACAACCGTTTCCTAATGTTGAAAGGAATTCGGCTATTTTGGATCTTGTACATAGTGATCTATGTGACTTTCACTCAACTCCTTCCCTTGGCAATAAAAAGTATGTTGTTACTTTTATTGATGATTCGACTCGGTTTTGTTATGTGTATTTATTACACACCAAGGATGAAGCTTTAGAGAAATTTAAAGTGTATAAACCGAGGTTGAATTGCAATTGGGTAATCCAATTAAATGTCTTAGGACTGATCGGGGAGGAGAATATATGGATCCCCATTATTTTCAATCTGTTGGAATCATTCATGAGACCACGGCTCCGTATACACCACAACAAAATGGTGTGGCCGAACGGAAAAATCGAGTGTTAAAGGAAATGGTTAATTCCATGCTTTCCTACTCGGGTTTGAGTGAAGGGTTTTGGGGAGAGGCCATGCTCACGGCCTGCTATGTTCTAAATAGGGTTCCAAATAAAAGGAACAAGACAACCCCATATGAGCTTTGGTACAAGAAAGCGCCGAATTTGAAATATTTTCGGGTTTGGGGTTGTAGGGCGATTGTAAAATTGCTCGAGCCCAAAAGGAAAACTTTGGGGGAAAGGGGAATTGATTGCATATTCATAGGGTATGCTGAACATTCCAAGGCTTATAGGTTTTATGTAATAGAACCTAATGATGCGGTAGCGGTTAACACCGTGATTGAGTCTCGGGATGTGATCTTTGATGAGATGAGATTTTCATCAATTCAAAGACCAAAGAACCTAGTTCCAGGCACTAGTGAGGTGCAAGTTCCAGAATGTTTGGATGGTGTTTTGAATCCCGAAGCACCACAAATAAGGAAAAGCAAACGAGGCCGCATCGTGAAAGACTTTGGTCCCGATTTTCACTTGTATTTAGTGGAAGGTTCAAGGGATGAAACGGGGGTACAATATTCATATTGTTACCAAGTTGAGGATGATCCAAAGACCTTTAAAGAGGCAATGGAATCCCGAGATGTTGCCTTTTGGAAGGAGGCAATTGATGATGAAATGTCATCAATTATGGAGAACAACACTTGGGTGTTGTCGGATTTGCCACCAGGTTCTAAACCCTTAGGTTGCAAATGGATCTTCAAAAAGAAGATGAAAGTGGATGGAACTGTTGACAGGTTCAAGGCTCGGTTGGTCATTCAAGGTTTTAGACAAAAACCCGGAATTGACTATTTTGACACGTATGCGCCGGTTGCTCGAATTACAACCATTAGGTTGTTAATTGCTTTGGCGGCTATACACAATCTGATTATACATCAGATGGATGTCAAGACGGCATTTTTAAATGGTGATCTTGATGAGGAAGTTTACATGAAACAACCGGAAGGTTTTGTTATGCCGGGACATGAGCATAAGGTTTGTAAACTTGTTAAATCATTGTATGGGCTGAAACAAGCACCCAAACAATGGCATCAAAAGTTTGATGAAGTTATTTTGTCCAATGGTTTTAGTTTAAACCAATCGGACAAGTGTGTCTATAGCCGATTTGATGCATTCAGAGCGGGTGTGATCATATGTCTCTATGTTGATGACATGCTGATTTTTGGAACGGACCAAAATCAGGTTGATGAAACCAAAAGGTTGTTATCATCAAGGTTTTCCATGAAGGACATGGGGGAGGCGGATGTGATCCTTGGTATAAGGATTAAACGGGTAAACAAAGGGATTGCTTTGACACAAGCTCACTATGTTGAGAATATTCTCAAAAGGTTTAATTATAGTGATTGTTCACCCGTTGGTACTCCCATGGATCCTAGTGTGAAGTTGATGCCTAATAAAGGAAAGGCGGTATCACAACTTGAGTACTCTCAAGCTATTGGTAGTTTAATGTATGCCATGACAAGCACTCGGCCGGATATTGCTTATGCCGTGGGTAGGTTGAGCCGGTTTACTAGTAATCCTAGTACTCAACATTGGCAAGCAATGAAGAGAGTGTTCAAGTATTTAAAGGGAACCATGGATTATGGTTTGTGTTACTTTGAGTATCCTTCGGTATTAGAAGGATATTCGGATGCAAGTTGGATATCCAATGTAGAGGATCACTCTTCTACAAGTGGTTGGGTATTTTTGTTTGGGGGAGGTGCCATTTCTTGGGCATCCAAGAAGCAAACTTGTATCACAAGTTCAACGATGGAATCTGAGTTTGTTGCGTTGGCTACCGCCGGTAAAGAGGCGGAGTGGTTAAGAAATTTAATTTTTGAGATTCCATTGTGGGGGAAGCCGATTGCACCTATTTCTATCCATTGTGATAGTGCTACCACTTTGGCTAAGGCGTATAGTCATGTTTATAATGGCAAGTCTAGACACTAGGTGTTAGGCATAGTATGATTAGAGAACTAATCATGAATGGTGTAATTTCGGTGGAATTTGTAAGATCGCAACATAACTTGGCGGACCACTTGACCAAAAGTTTGGCCCGGGACTTAGTGCACAAGTCTGTTATAGGGATGGGTTTAAAGTCCATTTAATCCTTAATGGTGAGACACCCAATTCCCCTCTAATACAACGTTAGAGGCTGAATTCAATGCGGAAAGCTCACACTTAATGGATTGGAACACACAATGAAAATCATCCCAAGGTGTGTGTTCGGACCTGTAGTAGGGAGGCTGAATTTATTTCTTAATAATTCCTTTGATAAAGTGTAAGCAGGTACACGAGTAAAGGAATTACCTATATGATCGTGAAGTGTAGCCGCACTTCAAAAGGCTTGGGACTTGGCTTTTATACGGTCATGAATGGGATTAGGACACACGGCTTTATAATTGTGTCAAGTTTGTATTCTAGTTGAGTATTGAAACTTGTATGTATTTTATCTTGAGGTATTCAAATGGGTTGAAGGGTTCAATCCGTAGGACACCCCGATTCTCGAATATTTTGAATGTGTAAAATACTAAGATGGAAATTCAATCGTATCGACATTTCCATTTATGTGCAAGTTTTGGTTTGTAAGCTTTGTTATGTCATTTCATGGGTTACACTAAAATGTGGGAGGATTGTTGGTGATTTTAGTGTCACCGGCCATTTTGTGTAATTGGAAATGACATGAGTGCCAATGAGAATTAGAACTATGATCTAATACAAGTTAGTAGGTGTGGAGTGCACACTTGTATATAAGAACTAATTTAGTTCCAAAGTGTCTACGTTAGTGGAACTTGAGGTAGAACTCGAGGTATAACTTTCAGTAGACCAGCTCTGTGGTTCTAGACCGAGTTCTAGAACGGTTAGGCAGTTTCCAGCAGTTTCCCAAAACTGCTGCGGTTATTCTTAATCGTGTTACTACTGCCTAGGACGATGAATATGGAGACATACCACCATATTTCGTACAGAGGAGAAGGAGGAAACATATCCAACATATCTTCATCACTTTGGCACTCAAATTAAAGATAACAATCCATATACTCACTAGTTTGGCTCTAGTTCTTGTGCCTAAGTTCTAGAGTGTCCTTAAGGATTATCCTAGATTGAATTTCTTGTAACCCAGGCATAGGGGAGAAATTTCAATTCGGAAAGTGAACTTACACGATCCTTAAGCAATCCAAGTACTCAAATTATCACCCCCTACGTGATTTACCCCAACAAACTACATACGGAGTATTAATGTACAATCTATTCAATTGCTTAAAACTTGAATAGGAATAGCTGTTTGATCCGAATTGTTTTAATTATTAGAGATATGACAATATGTTGAAAAAGAACGCCACCATTAACCCCAAAATTTGTCACCCATAAGATAGTAAGTTTGAGGCAATGGAGTACTCACACATACTCAGATATGTATATATATTAGGTGAAAAAGAAACATACCCCAATAAGGGTAGCCAATATACGGGCTCCACTGGAGCCAAGAGGGTGACCCAAAGCTACGGCTCCACCATGCACATTAACTTTATCCTGGATGAAGTCCCCCCACATATTATAAGAAAGACAATTTTATAATGCTTGTCCAGACAGATGACCATAAAGAGCGATTAATATGCTTCACTTTTAAGTTTCAAAAAGAATATGATAATTTTATATAAAAAAGGAAAAGTGATTCAATAATTTAATACAATTATGAATAAAACTCGCATTCAACACCAATGTTTGGGTAGTCTACGAAAAAAGTTGGGAGAAGAAACTGGTGTGGCCTTGAAATATGCAACAAATCAAATACACCCACCAGCATTCTTTTAGAACAATTAATCACAAAAAATTGTCATGTTAGAACAAATGTACACTTCAACTATACATCAAATGGCACATATACCCCATAACTATATTTTAACAAACATATATACCCTCAACCATTTGGATATAAGTGTATATTTGTTCCAACATTGCATTCTTTTGTGTTTAATTGTTCTAGAAGAAAGTTATTCCTTGACATATAGTTACAGTATATTTGTACTTTTGTATAAAATTATAAGCTTAAGAAACTACTCATTATTTGTTCTTTATCATGTGCCTAACCGATGATGGGAAAAGTTAAATTAAGTAGAGCCGTCAAAATGGGTCGAATCCCGCGGGCTGGCCCGTTTAAACCCATTTATAAGTGGGTTAGGGTTGAAAATTTCTGACCCATTTAGTTTGCGGGTTTCGCGGGTTGCGGGTTTAAGTGGGTTGACCCACAGGGTTGCGGGTTTAAGTGGGTTGACCCACCGGGTTGCGGGTTGGCCCACGGGCCAAAATATAAAAAATATAGTATTGAATTTTAATATCTTAAATATTGTTTTTTACTACCAATATTATTATAATTACAATTAAATAATTGCAACCATGGCAAAACAATATTTAATTCTATAATAAATATTCAAATAAAATTTTGAAACGTATATTTTATGTGAAGTTCAATACAATATTTAACAATCGGTAGTCATTAATTACAAATAATTAATCAAAGGTTTATGTCGATCTTTATTTTTATACAATGAGTATTTTTGTAGCATACCCTTTTATAGTTTTCAAATTCTCGTATAACTAGTATTTAATATTTTTAATTAAACTTAACAAGTATTGAATTTTTAGTATTTTAATTTCTTATATTTCCCTTGTTACTACTTACTAATATAAATATATACTTCCAGGTAAATAATTTTCAAGAATTATTTCTTATATCTTTTTTTACATTGGCCCGCGGGCCAACCCGTTTAACCCACGGGTTAGGTGGGTTGGGTTAGGGTTGTAGAAATCCTGGCCCGTTTTTAAACGGGTTGGACTGACCCAACCCACATAAAGCATAACCCGTTACGGGTTGGGTTGGGTTGGGCCAGGTTGGCCCGTTTGACAGCTCTAAAATTAAGCCTCCCAAGGCCCCATCACAAAAGAGATCGGGGGTGGGGGGGGGGGGCAATCACTAATATGATGGGAGACTTAAGGTTAATTTCCAAATATGATGTGAAATACTTCAACAATATTATAGGTGCATTATAGACACCACACTTGGAGGAAGAGGTGGAGTGAGCTCACCTCATTAAGTCCAAGTAATTTGTTATTTGCAAGAGCTACAGCCTGCATGCATGCATAGTGTGCAACTTATTAGAATAAGAACAATACAAAATGGAAACAAAATATCACCACCCCACCAAAAGAAAAAACAAAGGAAGAAGTCATGTCTATCCATTATATAATAATTGATGTTTAAATTTTTACAAGGTACAAGTTGATGTCATACTGCAAAAGGCTCATTGATTTCGTAATAATCGACTTGGGAAGCTTCTAGACCAGCATTCTTTATAGCTTTTGGAATTGCAAGAGCAGGAGAAACTGTAAATAATTCAGGTGCCTGCAAGACATATATATAGACTCATCATCAAATGTGAAAGCACAAAAAAAAAAATTGCAAACACGGAAATAATATGCGGAGCAAGAGAAGACCTGAGCAGCATCTGCATACCCAATGATCCTTGCAATCACGTTTAAACCCAGATCACTGGCTTTCTTACCGCTTACTAAGACCAAAGCAGCAGCACCATCACTGAAATTGCATCATAATTTTATTTACTCTCAAATTAATATTTTCTGGTCATATGATGTAAACAGAACAAATTAAAACAAGAAAAATTCTGTTTGTACATACTTTCTTATACACACCTCTGTGAGAAGGCTATTTTTGTCTCTGAATCCCGTTCAGAGTCAAAACATGTTTGTGAACATGTGTTTTCTGTGAACGGGATTCACAGACAAAAAAATAGCCTTCTCACAGAGGTGTGTATAAGCTGTGTATAAGAAAGTGCGTACAAGTAGCAAAACTGTTAAAATAAATGTAGTATTTTCTCACTAAAAGTCTTTGGTCAGCACAACTAAAGAAAACGTGATTTACAATGTTTATAGCAAAGTTATTATATTAAGTATAAGTCAAAATTATTAATAAACAAAAACCTCATGCTGGAAGAGTTGCCAGCTGTCACGGTGCCTCCATCTTCCTTGAAACTTGGTTGGAGTTTCCTCAGCTTTAAAGCATCAAACTGCAACATCATGATATAGGGATCTAATTGTAAGAGGTTGAAAATATTTTCATTCTCTTCTTCTTGGTGTGCTCAAAAGCTTCATATAACTAGCGAATCATTTCAGTATTTTATTTTTTATTTAATCCAACGGAGAGAATTTTATGGAGCATAACATTCCTACAATTAATTGTGATTTTAAAGTTTCATGTTTTACGTCAAGCTAGAAGCATTTTTAAGATAATCCTGATAGAAAACATTATAAATATCCAGAACACAAGGAAATTATAGAATTCTGTTAAACGAACTCTGCTACAGATCAGAGTTGAGTGCAGAAAATTGAATAAGAGAAGAAGACAAAGTCTAGGCAATTCGAGAGTGCCTTGCTCTCCAAGTTCTAACTAAATACCAGCCTACCCTCCTCTCTCCTCAGACACTCCCTTTTATCCCATTCACTAGCAGACCACGCCACTTAATTAGTTAGTTAGTCTCTTTCCCTTTTTTAGCCCTCCGCGTGTAAACTTGGGGATAATGCCTATTAGGATTAATATTTAAAATGTTCCGAGTCTTATCAAATCCATCCAGCTTGAATGAGATTGTCATAGTACACAAAGTAAGACCCTAGATTACATTTCCTCTCAAATAATAGGAATTGATTTTTTTCGTTACTCTTCCTATGAAATTTAATTTTCATTTCCTCATCAACCCTTTCCACATAACAAAAGGGCTGATGATTACATTCAGAGCATTCTAAGTATTTCTAAACTTTGTTTGAACCATTCTGATTGATTTATCAAGCAAACCACTTTGGAAAGAAACACTTTCCCTTTTCTCCTTCGTATCTTTTTCTTTTCATGGTTAAAAAAAATTAGTATATGAAGCATCTGTGCTATCTAATGGTGAGTTGTGATTACTGATTGTATACAGCATATAGGTTGATGTACTTATTTACCTTCTCCAGGCTTTCATCCTTATCAACAACAGTGGATGGCTTTCCCCTTCCCACCGACACCTCAACCTGTAAATTAGTACTAAAACATGATTGCCTAAATGCAGGGCTAATTCTATTTCTTCTAGAATAGAGGGCAACACCCACAGGATTGTCCCGATGGGGTCTAGTAGAGTTTATCCACAAGATCACATCTTGACTGTGCGTCAAGCAACTCCACCATAGAGTTTCTCCATGAGATCTAAATCTATAAATAATGAGTATACCGGAACAATCTCCCATGTAAACGCTCCAGCATTATGAGCAGCAATACCCCGTTCATAACTTCTAATTGCATAGTCGTCCTGCACATACATTTTAGGTGTCATAAACACAAGTGACATTTCAAAAGACTTCGAGAAAGAGGTTAAAGAATATGTGTAGATTCATTTCGCTATACTCCTACATCAGACAATTACATTGAAAATAACTGGTAAATAAGACCTCCGACTGAGCTATTTATTATTTATTGTGGTTCGGCCTAAGTGCCTTATGATCGACCCCAAGTTAATCCTGAACTCTATCACTTTACTGAAATCAAAATGATAGCAGTTGTATGAATTGAGTATATCCAAATTTATAAAAAGCGGCTCCATTTTTCCTTTTTCTTTTTCTATTCAATGTACATAGGAAATGAACCTGGTCTTCTCTTGAGATATTGTGATTTTCAGCACAAATTTCAGCACATATTCCCATCCCAAAATCATTATAAACATCCAACAGCCCGTCTTTAAGGATTCCGTCAACAAGGGAATCATTCCCCAAGCGAGATCCTTTCCTGCCGCAAGTTCAAGCAGGTTATATGGTTAGATAATTAAGAACTCACCATGAACTCCAACAATTGCAAGAGCAACATCACAATGTGAATTAGTATAGTTCTAGTTGAGTTAACAAGTCCCCTAATAATAAGAGCGGGAGCCAGAGTACGAGGACAAAATCTTAAAACCAAGGTAAGAAAGTTACTCACTCCATCCCATATCTGGGGGTGATATGTTGGTAAATTTCTCTTCGCAGATACTTTAATTAACGCAAACATTTCTCGCAAATGGACATCCTTATCCCTAATGCACAGTGCATTTGGGATGGAAACCATACAAGTGTCAAACCTGTAAAAACGCTCATCCTTATGACAACACATACAAACCTTGCTTGAGCAAAGTATTTAGGGACATTTGACATACTTTCCATGCCACCAGCCACAACCACATCATTGATTCCTAACTGGATACTCTGTGCAGCAAGCATAGTTGCTGAAATTGGGAAGCAAACAATAAATACAACAACATTCAAGCCTTATTCCCAAAAGATTTTGGGGTCGGCAAACATGAATCGATCCATGATATTAGAGCCAAAAAGAGAAGAAAGATAAGAAGAATAAAAAGATAAAGTAAGATCAAATGAATTTGATCTTTTAACAATCCCAAGTTCACAACATTGCTAATAAAATTTCCACATGAAAATACGAATTATGTTTGTTTATAATGCGTTGGGTTAGACTAACTAGCTTACTAGCTAATAAATTTATTAAATTGGATTTGATCTTTTATTGTGTTTGACTGATGTGCATTATGGCCCAATTGAACGACCACATCTCAACTATAAACTGTATTTGTTCATGAGTTTACTGGAAAAATGATCTGTTGGGCATATATCTATTATCTTTGGAAAGAATCCTATTTGTATTGTGTATTATAGGAACTTGCTTGTATAAGGATTATTGCATTCCTTATAATCATGCTTGCCAAATGTACTTGTATTTATACATCATACTTGTACCATTCATCAATCAATATACAACACATTATTTCCATTCTCAACATGAAGAAGGAGCTAGCATGCCTTTGGTCCCAGAAGCACAAACTTTGTGAACAGTGGTGCAGACCACTGTGTTTGGTAATCCTGCACCCAGTGCAGCTTGCCTTGCTGGGGCCTGTCCCATGTTTGCACTCAGAACATTTCCAAAGAAAACTTCTTCAACGAGAGATGGATCAACACTTGCTCTCTTCAGAGCACCTAATAAAGTCATATGGAAGGAAATAAGTTTTGGTATGAAGTTATATTATTGATGCAAGAAACTACTCTTTAGAATGGTAATGGTCTTACTTTCGATAGCTATGGATCCAAGTTTAGTAGCTGGCAATGATGAAAGAGAGCCAAGGAAGCCACCAATGGGTGTCCTGGCAAATCCAACAATGCAGACATCTAGCCAGAATAGCAGACACAAGTGACATCAGAATGGCAAACTCACAATGAAATGAATGTCAAAGCAAATAATCAACAATGATATATGTTCATTCATCCCATAGTGGCCAAATATAATAACATAAACTTAAGTATAATGTCTTGGGCTACTCATATTATGTCATCCTTTATCCTTTAATTTCTTATAGGATGGAATTTCAAGACAGTGTTGTATGCAATGCTTAATAAATATATTAATTAGATTTTGCATTTTGGAATGCTTGCTTTTGAAGCCGAAACATTTGCATGGAGTCATTTGCATGATCTCGTATTATCTTTTCCCCTCATTTTTTTTCTTGTTTTTTTAATCCTTTTTCTTTATATATATAAACATTATTTTTATCCTTTTTTATTTTATCATTTTTAGGTATATTTATCTCTTTTTATATTATCTTTTTCATAATAGCTTATCATTTTTTCTTTATTTTCTTTCTTTTCCTTTTGGTGGTGACATCATGTATCGATTCATGTTAGCCGACCCCAATATCTTCTGGGATTAAGGCTTGGATGTTGTTGTTGTTATAGAATATATATATATATATATATAGGGAGTGGTTCCGGTGAGAAAGGACTCCCGGGAGAGAAATGAGAATGAACTAGACCGTTAGATTGTATAATGTGAATTTGAATTGTGCATTTGGTAAAACTGAAATGTGCATTAAGTGAAAATGAAATGTGCGGAATGAAAGAAAAACTCAAATGTGCATGACGTGAAATTGAAATGTGCAGAATAAAAGACACAAAAATGCCACCGAATCGTAGTTTTTATTCTACACATTTCAATTTAACCTAGTGCACATTTCAGTTTCCCTTGATGCACAATTCAGCTTCACATAATACCATTGTGTCTTACCTTTTGTGATGCACATTTCGATTTCACCTAATGTACATTTTAGTTTCACTTAATGCACATTCAATTTCACAGAATACAATCTAACGGTCCAAATTCATTCTCATTTCTCCCCTAAGATCATTTTCTCACTTGAACCTGATTCTATATATATATATATATATATATATATATATATATAAGACAAATATTCAGGTCCGGCCGGGCCGGACCACTCCTCCCTGTCCGGCCTCCTCCATTTGGGGGCCTTCCCGATGGTATTTTTTGCTCAAATTTTTTGTGTAGGTTCCTCATCAAGTCTAGTTCATCCATACCAAATTTCAGCCAAAAATTCAATCGGGAAGGTCGTCAAATGATTTTTGCAAGTTAACTGGTCCGGAAAATACATATTCCGGACCAGTTAACTTGCAAAAATCATTTGACAACCTTCCCGATTGAATTTTTGGCTGAAATTTGGTATAGATGAACTAGACTTGATGAGGAACCTACACAAAAAATTTGAGCAAAAAATACCACCGGGAAGGCCCCCAAATGGAGGAGGCCGGACGGGGCTCCGATCAGGTGAGAAGTGCTTTTAGGCTGAGAATTGCGAAGTTAAACTTATAGACTAAATATAGGAACTTTTAACCAATAAATCATAACTTATAGACCCCTCGAAAATAATTACGAAAATGCCACCGCCAAAAAAAAATTACGGAAACCTGGAATTTTTTTTTACGCGGTGGCATTTTCGTAAGGGGAAAAATGCTACATAGCCTAAAGAAATAGGTCACTTGAAGTTCATAGCCTCTATTTTATTTATCAAAATACATAGCACTTTTTGATAATATACCACCCGTAAACTTTTAAACTACCATACGTAACTTCCATTGTTTGTGATATTGGGAGGAAAATTGCGGACTACAAGGAGTAGTTAACTCATTTTAATAGACAAAGTGCGCCGGTGGTTTTTAAGAAAGGCTATCTAATTAATTTTTGATAATTCATAATATTAACTTAAGCACACATATTTAATTATGTACATACACCCAATTTTCTCTTTTCGTAATTACTATGGAGAGCTTTATAAGTTACGATTTATTGGTTATAAGTTTCTATATTTAGTCTAAAAGTTTACTGCGTTGTACGATCAGATGCAAATCCAAGGGCTGAGATTACTTCTCACTTCTCATTTTAAGGGACACTTCTCACCTGATCCTCTCTCTCTCTCTTTCTCTCTCTCTCTCTCTCTCTATATATATATATATATACAGGGGTGGAGACAGGGAGGGGCTGGAGGGGGCCTCGGCCCCGGCAAGAAAAAAATTCGTAAGTATATATTATGTATAAATACTTTTGATCTATAGAAAATATGTTGATATTTTAAACTCTGACCCCTTCAATGTAAAATTTTTAAGAACCGGCCCCCTTAATCGTAGATTTCTGGCTCCGCCACTATATATATATATATATATATATATATATATATATATATATATATATGATTAGGGTGTGGTTCCAACAACAACAATGCTTATTGTGAGAACGTGTTAACCCACATATTTAATCCAATGTGATGCACTTTATTTACTTTTCTCAAACTAAGCCAATAATAGATAAGACATAGTGGCAACTTAATAAATATTATGCTAACACAACAAAAGTGTAATGGACGAGCTTCATTATGTATCACATTAGGGTAAATGTCTGTTTTCACATTCTCACGATAAGCACTTTTCTTATTTGATCTGGAAGCTATGCGTTCCTGTTATCTTGAACCGCCGTCCGGCCGAAGTCATTTGGGGCCCTTCCCGGGGCTCATCCTGATTGAATTTTTAGCTGAAATTTGGTGGACATAAACTAGACTTGATTAAGAACATGTTCAAAAAAATTCCACCGGTAAGTGCCACAAATGGCCTTGGCCGGACGGTGGTTCCCGTCAGGCCAGCTGGACATGAATTGTCCTATATATATACTATATAAGATTATAGTAAAAGAGTCTTTCCTTTTATATCAACTAAATAAAAAGCAAATTCTAAAATGAGACGGGTAGTATATTTTATCGCTTTTCCATATATATCCTAATTTGTCATAGGCAAAATCATGGTCCAAACTTTACCACCATAGACTTGAAAAGTCAAAGATGACAAAATTCTAAGGGGCATGTAGTATGTAGTATATTTTATTGTTTTTCCATATATACCCTAATTTGTCATCAGGTTTTACAATCTACGATACTTCCAGATAGTACATCAATAAGGGCATATATGCAATGAAGAAAATTGGTGGGGTTAATATGGTAGGTGGACTGTATATGTAGAATGAACCAAAACTGAAAAATGGACTATCCTTGTGAGATAGAGTGAGAAATATCTTATTACCCTTATACGAAGTATTTCATAATAAAATAAATGACTAGTAACCTAGGCCTCTAAAATGAGACTTGTGTGCTTCTATGAAAATTCTAAAATGAAAATGTTACTTGACAAAGTAAATGGAATGAAATAAGAGTTTCTCATTGAGGGAGAAGTACTTTTAAAAAATGGAATGAAATTTGAGTAGCCTACAACAACATTTTCCACGGAATGAAGGAAGACATTATTGTTTTTTCACCAAATTCATTTTCTGCTAATAAGCTATTCTCATTTGGACATACTAGTTATTGTTTATGCAAGTCAGACTGACCTCTAGGATTGATCGTTTCTGCTGCAGCTGGGGTCATGACTAGTTATTGTTTATGCAAGTCAGCACATCAATGGCCTTCGCATACAAAAACCAAATTAGAATACTTCTTACTCTCAAATATAGGCAGTTTTTAAAGAAACTTTTCTTTTAAAATATTAAAACCAAAGTCCAAGATAGGGTTATTTGTTTAAGAGTAAATGCATAAATACTTTAAATAGTCCTTGAACTATCATTACCATATCATTTTGGTCCTTGAACTATTAATTTATCATTTTAGTCCTTAATCTATTCAATCTATATCAATCGAGTCCTTCCGTTAACATTAACGGTAGCTACTTTATTAACATCTCATAATTTTAAACATTCTAGAACAATGCAATTATTCTTAAAATCTAAGTACCTAATCTGTTTTTTTAAAATATACATATATGATATATACACATACACAAATAAAAATTATAAATAAATAATTAAATATATACTATAAAACCAAATGTATGGCTTAAATAATACGTAGTATATAATAGAGAATCAAATAACTCAAGTATATGCATATTAGCAAATAAAATTAAATAAGAAAACGAGGATGGTTGTGACCATTATATATTAATTATATTAAGAGAAAATAAATGACTAAGACTCATCCATTTATCCAACACATGCCCTCATTAGTTTTTCCCAAAATAATACTCCGTATTTAAATTCATAATATCTACTAAATAAATAAATAATTTTTATGGACTAATTTGCCCGAGGAAGTTTTTTTGTTATAAAGATTTTATTGTTTGCTTACTATGTGTGCACAAACCTGTGAGTAGACATGGTGTGGATTAGTTGGATACTTGGATCCATTTAGAACAAAAATGGAAAAAATATACACTAACTAATAAATCAGGTATTGTTAAAATGAACAGAAAATATACACAAAAATATACAGGGTAACATGACAGTGTTAATTAAAAAAAATCTCAAACTAACAAATAAATCAAGCGAATTAAGTAAAATTATGAACCAAAGAACATTGTTGAAGTGTGTGGCTACTGACTAGCGTATAATAACCAAAAATCAGAGGAAAATGGCAGAAAACAATGAAGGATACACTAAAAGCTTACCTAATTAGGTAGCTAGGAAAGGATTGAGAGGTTTACCAGCTGCTTGGTTTTTGTAGGGTCTTTTATCCGCTCCATGGACACCAAAAGGCAGCAGCACTGTGGTCCTCTCTGGAAACCAACGGCCAGAATTAAGCGGAAAAACTGCTCGCTATTTTGTTTTCACTTTACAGAACAGTGGGATTAGCTCAAATTGTGAGGCGGTTTGGCTTATTAGTTTTTTTTTTCATTGAAGAGCGGTCATTATATTAATATCGAGAACACGTACAAAACAATCTTTAAACAGAATTTACGGATCCAATCATGAATCCTATGAGTAGACTCAGAGTCAGCCACCTCATGCAAAGCAACACGACTCGCTAAACCTGAAACCGGCAAATTTAGGCCTAAAACGATCGGAACTGAAACCCTGCCTATCGAAAGAACTCCAAAAACCCAAACATTCAAACCAAATCTACTCGGACTGAAACAGAAACAAGTGCTACTAAAGAGAAAATAATATTGAAATAAAATCTTGTCAAAAAGCTCTTCATGGTATGAATGTGGTTCCGGAGGAGGACGGACTCTTACAATATCGGAAAATACCAACTCCACCCGCGGAATAGCCGACCAAGGCTTCACGATCCAGTCTCGATACAATCTCTCACCCGCACCTCGTACATCCGCCAACGTTATCTTCTCAGACGTGGTTGCAATACTAAGCGTTAGAACAATTGAAATAAGTATAATCTGCCGCTCCAACCTCATATTGATAGGGGCGGCGGAAAATCTCAACCCCTACAAAGAGGTGAGACGGCTGCTAGGGTTCCTCTCTCTCTAGAGAGAAGAGAGAATTAACTTTTTTGTCTCGTGTCTTATTAGGCTTATTAACCAGCTTTTTCAACAAACATGTAACTTTTGCTTTCGCGCGCTGAATTGTGTAATAAGCAGAAAAAGTAAGGTTGGAGTTACTTTTCTTGTTGTATTGGCTGAAGATACTGTAAATGACCATTTTAGCTATTTTTACATATAATTTTTTCTTTATTTTATTAATAAAATATACTCCCTCCGTCCCACAAAACTTCGCCAAAGTTGACTTGCACGTAGATTAATAAAGTAAAAACTTTGTGGTTGAAATTTGTGTGCAGAGGAAAAAGAAATACTCCCTCCGTCCCGGAAAGGATGGCCAAAGTTGACTTTCACGTGGATTAATAAAGTAAAAACTGTGTGGTTGAAATTTGTGCAGAGGAGAGAGAATTAACTTTAGTCACATATTCTTTACTTTAAAATGGAAATGGCAAATCTTTTTTGGACATCCAAAAAAGAAAATTTGGCCAACCTTTTCGGAACGGGGGGAGTAACTTTATCCACATATTCCTTACTTTAAATAGAAATGACAAGTTTTTTGGGGCGGCCAAAAAAGGAAATTTGACCAAGTTTTATGGGACGGAGGGAGTCTTTTACAAATAATTTTTTCTTAAATCAACAGAATCAGCCACTTCAGCCAGAACTTCATAAATTTCAGCGGAATTGCCTAAATCAACCATTTTTCTTATAATCGGTTCTACTATGTGGATAGTAGTCATAGTACGATTGGCCTGGTTTTATGTGGATATGAGACGGATGCCCAGCCGCTTGCACTTATAAAGACGGCTCGCCACTCACACCCATAAGGACGGCTCGCCGCTTGCACCCATAAGGACAACTCATTGTTCGCATCATGACAGATAGGCGCTCGTCTCGCACCAAACACTCCCACTCATGGCTCATTGACTCCTTTTAACCGATAAAACTTACGCGATCATTGTAGGTTAGATTGGAGCTTGTGATGACCAAATTGAATCTTCATATCACATCTTGACGAATAGGTTCTCGCTTCGCACACGACCGTGCATATCTTTTTCTAAGTTCCAAACTTGGCTATGCGTCTTTCACCAAAGTTGCAGCTCATGACGTTCTGTATCGAACACAACTTGAATCGTTGAATTTGGTTCATCCAATCAAAAGATATGGATGAAATCGTGAAAGGTGTCATCATGAAATTTCAACAACGATTATCTGACTTACTTGTCTTGTTTCACCATGATCCTTTCACATTATCGCCTTGGTTTCTGCAAATGGTTTGTAGCCTGTTGAGTTTTCTTTCACATGAAACTTGAATTGTTTCGTTTGGATATTTCTATGAAAAGTTATGCTCAAACAATTGACAGTGTTGCATCCTTATTCAAGGTTGCGAGATGGGCGGCGGTCCAAATAGCCGTTTTCAAGCTCCAACGCTCCTTGATCTTCAAAGTCCATCTTGAGTTATTTTTCATCTTAAACATGATAAATTTCTTCCAAAAAAACTAAGACTCATCCCGAACATAATAAGTATAAGTCTTAGCGAAATAATGCAAAATTACACTATGAATGAGTACAAATGAGTTTTTTCCACACATTAAATTGTGTTGGAAAACACACTTATCATAGGCCGATATCAGTCCCCATAAACCCCACCCCTGGTCCGGTCCCATAAATGAATCGCTTATTCTGGCGGTCTGGCCCCAGTCCGGTCCCAAGAACCTATCAATTCTCGTTCAAACCGGTTCTAGGATCATGACCATGTCCATCCTTGTGTATGAGACTACATTTCACATTGTGCTGGTCTACGCATTTATGTGTTTCTAATTGAATTTGGTGCATGCGTGAAAAATAAAAATCAAACGGTTGATTTCGTGGAGATGGAAGGAAATTGTGCGGTCCATAAGACCATAATTATGAAGATAATTCTATAGCAGTAGGACCGTACTACCGTAGGTAAATGAAAAAATAAATGACAATTAGAGATTAAAAAAAGAGATTATAAAATATGACATCTTTCCTTTTGAAGATGAATGATTCACTGTTTCTAGTTAATTCTGAATATACCATGATGATCTTAAACACGTGAAATCTGTGCGCTATAATAGTGCAAGTTTATCTTAATAAAATGTGGTGTACATCATTGCCCTGGTGGCCTATAAACTTTATACCTTCAATGCTTCAAATAAAAGGGAAACATCTGATAAGTGCAACTCAATGCTCATTTTTACCAATAAGTTTGTTTAAATTTTTTTGACATACTAGCCGCTCAATCTTTTCTTCAAAGTTACAGGTTTAGCATTCAGACTTTCAGAGCTTAACATTTACTCGTATTGTTTAGTGTTGATTCTGTTGAACATTTAGTGCTTAATGGTTGAGATTTAGTCTAGCATTTAGTTTAACATTTACTACACAACATTATTTGTTTACCAATTAGAGTTTAACAGTGGTGGCATTGGTGACACAGTGACAGGGTAACAGCCTAACAGGCTGGGTTGCGCCGCTGCGGTAGCACAATGCTAGGCAGAGCCTATGGATGTCCAAATTAGCAGGCATTGACCAACTAAGGAATCTATAAATGGCACATTCATTGATGGAAGGAATAAGGAAATTGATGAACTTGATCACCTCAGCACAAAAGAAGTTGAAGAATGATTGCACAAAGCAGTCACACCTCAGGTCAGTCAACTTCCATGACAACTATACTCTGCATGGAAGATTTAGTAATCTTAATAAATAAAAAGATACATTTGAAACTATGGTTACTAGCAGATGCTGCCAAACATGCAGAGGTAATGAGATTTGCAACTTGCAAGAGCTCCGTTCAATCATTTTCAAGCATAATAAACCAGTAGATGGTCACAGTTCCCTTGTATGCAAGAGCTCCCTTTTCATGTTTGGCGTGTGCTGGTATAAAGCCTGCTATCATCCCCTCCCTCTTTCTAGTACTTCATGCTCCACTGCACACCAGCATTTACAATATCAGTTTCTGAATAGACCTCAACTGTATGCTACAATCTTCATAAAAACCTTTACTTTCTCAATTTTATCCAAAAGACCATCATTATCATCTCGAACCAGCATTGGCAATAAGGAGACAGGCAAGGGATGAATCAAGTTGTTATTACCTTATATTAATAAATAATCCAATGATGAAAGAAGAGCTACATGACTTTGTAACAGTAATTAATATGTGCGACCGATAATACAACCACCAGAAAGTGGACCATGTACAGGTTTGAGCTTCAAACCAAAGACAATGGAATTTGTCGCCAATTTTACTCATATATATACCATAGAGGGTGGATCTGGTCATATAATGTTACCTATGTATGTAATCAGGTGGGGACGCATAAACTTGTTTGAATCTTCTTCTTTCTACGTAAAAGGGAAGGAAATAGAAACACCTCTACATTCTAATGTATTGCAGATTAACGTAGTGATTATCACGAAGTAATATTTTAGAAAGTTCATTGTCGTACAAGTTAACAAAATAAGTACTACGTATATCATGTTCAGTGAAACAAATTCTAATAGTAACCTTATATGCTCACCTAAGGTTATCAAGTTGTCTTATATTATTCCCTTATAAGGCAGTAATTCTATAGATTATCACCTAAGGTGATTCACAAGTCACAATATATACCCCCCTAAGAAACTAAACAGCCAATACACAGAGCATTAACTAGAGAATAGAAAGAAGAGGAAGATATCAAGAAGCACGAGTGCATCAGAAGAGAAAAATGAGACACTGAAAAGCCATAAAAGACAACTGCACATTGCAGAAGCGCAGTGACAACCTTGATCAATGGTTAATCTCTTCCTTCATATGGATTTGATAAAAAGAGTCCAACACTCTAACATCTAAATCAAGACACTTCAAGTGCATGCATCTCTCCAGGTTGTGGATTGAGTACTCCAGGTTGTATGCTCATCAGGAATATATTGGACCATGGATCGTAAATCATAATTCAAGATATGGTCATGAATCAAAAGCGATTGCATAGCATAAAATCTACCTTACTTTAAGGTGCTGATAGTGGGATGGGTTTCACTGCACTTGCAATTCGCCTATATGCTGTTTTTACGCGTTCCTTGAGGCCATCATCTTCACCTTCAACATCACCAGTCTGTTTGTCAAGTTCTGCTGTGTTCCCATCAACATTTATAACTAGCTTGCCATTCCCCCCGATTTTAACATCCCCAAACAAAGACACCAACAGTGTGTGAATAATTTTCTCAGTTTTTTTTGTATCTTCATCCATGTTTACGTCAGGTTCTGATTCCACGAGCAACCTAGGCATTTCTTTGTTTGCATTTAGAACCAATGCAACAACAGAGTCCGAGACCATATCACTGATAGGGTCAGCAGTCCAATGCACAGAAAGGTGATTTTCTGACTCCTGTTTAACCACTACCTTATCATGAATCCGAAGTGCTGGAACACCAGAAACCTCATCAGTTGATGATTCCACACTCTCATAAACTTGCCTGATCCTGTGCCTAATCACAGCAAATGCACCCGAATATGGGATAGTAATTCTCTGATTAACATTTGCTGTCGAAAGTTGTGAGAAGATGTGGAGATCTTCAGGGGCCATTATCTGGTAAGTGAAGCCTTTTTTCACAAGTAACCCACTGACAGTTCCACCCACTTCAGGGATCTTTTCTGCCAATTTTCCAATAGTTTTTGCCATTTTATCAGAGCTAAAGTACATTTCCACAGATTGGCAGTTCTTGGGTGTAATAATCTTGGTGTTTTGGTCAGCAAATAAAGTGGTCAGCTTTTGCTTGAGCCTCCCCATCTCAGTAGCTTCTCCATGAACCAGAATTATATTAGGCGGCATTAGCTCTTTCAAGAATGTACTTGTCTGGTTATAGTCTGCGTGAGCTGAGAATGAAATATAATGTACCTGCATGTTTAAAGGAGCAGTAAGCCCATTTGTAAGGGTCACCTCTTTCGGTTCATTGATAATTGTCTTTGCAAGTGTCCCATGAATAACATATCCAGGAATAACACAAGCATTTCTCTTGTCAGAACACCACTTGTCAAAGAGCTGCCTTGAAAGCCCACTCTGAAGACTGCCAGGACTTGCCATAACCACACAAGGGCCCGTATCCTGAAATCCCTCGATACTGTTCAGAGGCGAAATGTGCTTGAAATCAAAGGGGTTTGAGTTGACAAACTGGTTGCGGATTCTATCATTCATAGCATTTATATAGGTCTGATAAACAGCCATACATCTTTTTGCAAGTGGTGAAGCATAGTATATGGGGATCTTCTGGAGCTCTTGATGAGTAGACCAATACTCATCTAGTATAAGCAGAAGCTCTTGGGCTCGGCCCAATGCAAAAGCAGGGATTAGGACACGGCCTCCTTGGCTGAGAGTTGAGTGTATCACATCAGTGAAGCGTTTCTCTCTAATGTGTCTGGGTTGGTGTTGTTGAACGCCATATGTTGATTCAATAATGCAAACATCCGGAGAAAACTGAGGGAGTTCAGCAGCACGAAGATGTCTATCTTCTTCACGAGAGTAGTCTCCAGTATAAAGAACTCGAACACCAGCAATGCTTACCATAAACATGGCAGCACCAAGAACATGGCCAGCAGTGTAGCACCAGAAACGGATGCCATTTACTTCCATTGTCTGATGGAAGTCAATCACCTAAAAAACATTGAACAATAAATAGTTGCAATGTTTGCAAAAACAATTGAAAAACCAGTAAATATGTCTCTTAAGTCTTAAGGGTTTATTTTTCCCAGTAGTTATCATCACATCTTGCTGGCAAGTGGAAACTTTGACAACGTTTATACATATTCAAGTGTATCTTAGCTTACACATCACAATATTAACACATACTCCCTCTATCCAAAACAAGTGTCTTCTTTGTGTAAAGCAATTTTTTTACTTTTAATCAACTCAAAAAGGTACAAGCTTTAAAAATTATGAATGTCCCTTATGCCCCTTAAAGGCTTAAACATACACACATGATTGTTCAGAGTAAATTAACAAAAAAAACTCAAGCATCTTGCTGTTCAGGAATTCTACTTTAGAAAAAGATGACTCGTAGAACCAGTCTCTGTTTGCGGGGGGGGGGGGGGGGGGGGTCCTAAAAGTAGGGCTTTTCCGGGACTTGAGTACATGAGAAATTTCTGTGATGCAATTATAGAAGCCAAAAGAGGACAAGCAAATGTTCCTTTACATCATTTTTGAACAAAAACATGTGATAATGTGAACAGTGAATTTCCAATTCATATCTGGTTTACCACGTCCAAAATGGTTGAGTGTAAGCATATGGTGCTGCAAAAAGACACCTCATTTTAACTACTCATATTTTAAAGTTATTATTTTATTTTCCAGGAGTCAGAGTGAATAGGTGGGAACCGTGGGAAAAAGCACGTGCAACTGGAATATATACCTCAATTTTATCCATGGATTTGTTGATGTGAGTTTCATCAAATAGCATATCTTCAACAGAAAATTTGCTCACTTTAACATAATCCGATAATAACAACTTATAAATTGCCTTCGTAGCATGGGTCATGAAAACTCTCCCTTTAAATGTGGTCTGAAAAAAGGTGGTATTAGCTTATTAGTAGATATACATACTTGTTAAATTGTCAAATACTCAATTAAAGATGAACTAATAGACCTTTTCTAGAAAATATGGGAGGGAAGCAGCATGATCCAAGTGAAAACTGCATGGACAGGAAAAGCTCAAACTTAAAGAGTGAAAGGAGCAAAATGTGCAATAATAAACATTCACTTCAACAAACAAGAGCCAGTAAAAGAAACATCAAAATATGCAATTATATAAGGTGCGAGAATAATGTTGGAGGCATTTGGTGAAATTATCAAGGCAATCTCAACTAAAAGAAGCATGACACAGAATATTAACATAATAGCCATAGAGAAACCAACACAAACTGGGAAAATTATCCATACTAACTAAACTATACAAACCTAAAAATGTGTTATGCTTGTTGCATGAGTTTCTCACAAGCACTCACATTTCTCTAACGAAACATAAAACACTAGATGCTAAGAACCAATACAAACAAAATAGTGGCACATTAAATGAATGATGATTCTGGCGTGCTGTGTAAAAGAAACAATACTGGGTAATTAGAAGAACATCAACAGTTGAAGGGTCAATTTCGTCAAAGTATGGCAATGCAGCCATGCCAGAATAAGCTGGATGAATCCCACAGTCGAACTGCCATGAAAAAAGAAAGATTTACGAATGTATATCAGAATCAATAGACTAACCTGTCATCAGAGAAACGAAAAGATACAATCGAGCTTTACCAGAACTGTTTTTCCTTTGTAAGACATGTAGACGCAGGACCGCCCAACTTCACTCCCCGCCCCTAAAGGGGTAATGATGAGCCGATCTGCTTCTCTTGTTGATGCTGAGTTAGGTCTCTTGGCCAACGATTGTATCTGTCCCGTTGACGCCATTCTTCAGGTGAACACAACCCACCCTAAACAGACTTAAGATACAAGGCGAAGAGATTGCGTAGAGTTACTTAAGCCCTAGAAATGTTTCCCGCCGGGTGCCCGAGTTTTCACTAGCCGGCCTTCATTATACAAGAATGGTATTTGTACCCATTATAATACCCACCATATACCCACTACATATACTCCCAAAAATTAATTACTCCCTTTCACCTCTTTTACCCCCTCCCCATCTCTCCTCTCTCTCCCCCTCCCTTCATCTATGCCCTTTCCCTCCTCTCTCCCCCCTCCCTTCTTCTACGCCCCATTTTCCTCTTCTTTATTTTTTCTTCTTTTACAAAACCTTTTTAATTCACCATCATTGCTCAACTCAGGAAAATTAGTTCTTTCCCTCACACATAATACAACCGTTCCACTTTTAAGACTTCGAATGTTGAGGTAATAATTTACTTCAGTTTGTTTTGGCTTTTACGACGCTTATACTTTTTTCCTTTTTTAGATTTTTTATGTATCTTGTTATGTTGATAGCAAAGATTTTAGTATGATGTTGAATGTATGATTATTTTGTTTCATTCTTATGGATTGGTGATGCTAAAATCTTGAAATTTCAGTTAAATTATTCTATTTCTTTTTTATGCACATGACATGCTTGTTTAAATGTTTCACTGAAATTTTAATGAATGTTTTTTGAAGTTGTAATTACAGTTGTAGTGGTTTTATATATGTTGTTTGTCATCATCAAATTGCATATTTTATTCATGTAAATTTCTAAGATGAACCTGTTTTCTGGATTAACTTGTAAACTGGAATGTATATTATGGTTGAGAATTTATTTGAGGTAAAATGGAGATATGGGAAAGGAGAAGGTTAGAACTTCTCACTGTATGCTTATTTATACTGTCTGTGCTTGGTAAAAATATTGTCTATGTGTTCATTTACTTTGTTTGTGCAAAGATAATATTTGTTTGTGTGTTCATTTATATGTTATGATGTCGATGCATTTTTTTGTGAAATGAGTTAAGTCCAGAATGTTTCTTAATGTTTTTCATTGAATTTAATTCCTTTTAGCAGGTGCTTAAGAAGCATGAATTTAAATGCTTATAACAGGTAGGGGTGGGTTCGGTTCTTGCGGTTCGGTTTTGACCTAAAACCAAATATAGAATCAAAGTAAAAAGTTCGGTTCGGTTTCGGTTCGGTTTTACACTCCAAAACTTGGAACCACGGTTTGATTGGTTTGGTTTGTTTTCGGTTCGGTTTCGGTTTTTTCGGTTTTTTACCAAAAAATTATCACTTGATTCAAAATTGATATAATACTTAGAGGGATCAAACATATTACATAAAGAATGCAAGCACAATACAATGACAAATAAAATAAAAATGAGAAGAGATAAATATGTCTTGAATTATATGAGTATGCGAGATAGATAAAACTGTATATATTATAGATTTAATTTGTTTGTGAGTAGTTCGAAAAAAGTTCATGAATATATACATTATATACTTCTATGTGATATAGTTGAGATGAATATTTATTGTTTTATCAATATAAAATCTTTAAGTTATCTAAAAAGAGTTAATTACTACTAATAACTAGTAAACACATATTATCATCATTCAATATAGCTACATTATTACAGACAATGAATGTGTAAATGAATTTATAAACTAAATTAAATTAAACCTAACACAAACATTATTTCTCTAACACAAGAAACCCAAAGACTATTGATGATATTAAGATTAATTAGAATTAATGCTTCACAATTAAATTATAAATTTCATATTTTAAATAGTTCGGTTTGTTCGGTTCGGTTTTGAAGGGTAAAAACCAAAACCGAACCCAACAACTTCGGTTCGGTTCGGTTTTTTACATTCGGTTTCGGTTTCTTAGCGGTTCAGTTTTATTTGGTTGCGGTTCGATTTAATTTGATTCGGTTTTCGGTTTTCGGTTTTTCGGACCCAGCCCTAATAACAGGTGCTTAACAACATGGCATGCTTGAGAGCTCTTACCAGGGCAAATATCTCTATAAGGAAGTTTGTACCAAAAGTTACAACCATGAGAAAATGCTGAAAGTGATTGGTCAAATGAAGATTTGGAAAATACTATAAAGACTTGCTTTGCTGGTTGCATATACTGTTTGGAGAAATAAAGACATTTGGTTTCTTGCAAATACAATTGCATTATTGTAAAACTGTAGTATTTTTTAATTTATATATTTGGTGTTATTTCAGACTCTTTTGTATAATAATTGGATTAATAAATGAAAAGTTTGATCTTTTTTGTTATTTATCAATATTAATAGGTAATAACCATCGAAATGGCCTAATGTGTTAAGTAGAATTGTGTATGAACTAGATTTGAAGTGTGTTGTTACACATAATAGCCACTAAAACGACATAATACGATAAGTGGAATTGTATGTGAACCAGAAACGAAGTGTCCGGTCATAGAAAATAGCTACCAAAGCGAGTTAATATGGTAAGTAGAATTGTCTGTGAGCCAGATATGAATTGTCTGGTCACAGACAATAGTCATTTATAACAGGCTAATAAATTGAGAGAAATGTGTTTGAAACAGTCATAATTTTTCATGCCAATTGAATTGTTCGTTTTCATTTATATTGTCTCTATGTGGTTAAAAAAGTGTATGTGTATTCAAATATTTTTGTACATTGAAAATTATTGTTTGTGTATTCGTTTATATTGTTTGTGCATGGTTAAACCATTGTCTATGTGTTCATTTATTTTTTTGTGTATAGAAAATAATTGTCTGTGCGTTCATTTATGTAGTCTGTGTGTGGTTTAAACGTGTGTTTCTATATTTTAGGAATTATAGAAACATGTTTAGGAAATAATTGTCTGTGCGATTGTTTATATTGTTTGTGCGAGACAACGTGTTTACATACGATTAATAATTAATTTGTTTGTGAGCATCATAGACATCCTATTTTTATGAGAATCACCCTCTCAAGCTAAAAGGCATTAGGCTGATTACATTCGGATTAATAGCACAACTTCAATTCATTTGGCAACATTCACGATCATTTCCATAATACAAAAGATAAACTTTGAAAGTACAAACAACTGTAGTTACACTATCATTGTAAATACAACATTAATTTCACAATATAACTAATTAAAAAATTAATAGCACAACATTTCATTTATCCTCTTATCCAATCTGCAACAAGAGCCAAGTGACGTGTAGTGAGCATTTAGATCCACCTTTCTTCGAATTAGAAGTCCATCCATAAGCAGTGAAAAGTGTAGTTCTTGGTATAGCACATATTGCAGTTTTTTAACTCTAAATATGCCTTGAGTTAATAAACTCCATGCTAATAAATATGTTTTGTCTCTAAATATGATTTCACCTTTCAAAACTTCATGCTAAGAAACCGGGGGCTTTAAACATTATTTGATCATATCAAATAATTTATTTTCCTTTTGCTTCTGCCTGAACTGTCACTGCTTTCTTTGCAGGATATAATTTGAGTACTATAATAGCAAGAAGTGAAATTTTTTAGTTACTACTTCAATGAGAATAAAGGAATATAACCAATATATTAGTTCAAGAAGTAAAATTACAGAGCTGTACAATGTAGTTTAGTGCATTTACAAGTTCTTTTAGTCAAAAGTGAAGTTTTTTCTCTTAGAAAAATGCAGTTTTATTAAGACTAAATATGGTGGTTTGGTTTTTAAATTCAAACTCAAATGTAAAAGGACTCCTGTTTGGGTTTAAAATCAAATAAAAATTGGACTTTTATTTTAAAAAGTGAAAGATGATTAATCTCAAAATGATTAAAAATGATATCCATATACTAACTTTTTAAAAGTGTAGTATTTGCAGACTACAATTCTAACTTATTCTAAAAAGCTGGACTACACACATTACTCCTTTCAGACCTCAAGAGTCAAGACTAATGGTCTTTTGAGATTACTATAAAAAGCTTTGCTCAAATGTTAAATTTCAAGAATCTTTTGAAAGAAACATAGAGAACAATGACAATTTATGCCAAGAAGATCAGAAGAAAATAAATATTTTTCAAGAAATGATGGAAAACAACTCTGAAGAACATTGATATTTGATAACAACACTTAGAATACTGATACCAAGATTCAAGAATACTAAAAATTTCATCAGGCCAGGTAGTTGATGAGTTTGCTTATAGTACAATGCATACACCCCCTCTACAAACAACACGGACACCATGAATACAAAACTAATAACAAAATAATGTTTAAATAACACGTGAGCAACAAATCTAATTTGTTTATTTTTTTCAAAATGCTCTAAAGCTGAAAAGTACAACTAATATTTTTAGTTTCTCTATGTTACGATTTACGAATATTTTCCAGTTACAGAGAACTATGAGGCAGTAATCAAATTATATTTGTTTTTACATGCTACCCACTAAAGCATTAGAGAAACCGAAAGCGAAGTCTGCTTAATAAATTGGATATGCACATAATTTGAGATAAAATGAACACGGGAGTCCTGGAATCTCACAGAGTTGATGAAGTAAAAAAATTAAGAAGATAGTTTTTGAGAGATTGTTTTGTTATCTTCACGGAAAAGTGAAAATGGAGTTTTAAGCCAAAAGTGGAGTTCTTTCTCTTAATAAAATGCAGTTATTAAGAGTAACTGTGGCCTTCTCAAAAAAAAAGTGTAACTGTGGTGGTTTGGTTTTTAAATTCAAACTCACCCGTAAAAGGACTTTTGTTTAGGGTTAAAATCAAATACAAAGCTTAGAACTACATAAATATGAGATATATTTAAACCTATGCGTACTTAATAGGGATCATACTTTCAAGTTTAAAAAATTCTTTCAATTTTAAAATAAAAAGTGAATCAGACTTGGAACAATGATAAGCGAAAAAATAAAGTAGGGAAAATATGATATATGGAGTACTATTTTACCATGTAGAAGCTTAACAAACGTAGTGATATGCAGAAGCACATGTATTTATATGCTAATTACTTTAGCATGTATGAGTAGTTATGATTATTACACAATGTAGATCATGCAACTTTTAAAATCATAAAACAAAAACTGAATAGTCTGGTGAATACTGATAGCCATATGAGTAGATCATGCTAATTACTTTAGCATGTATGAGTAGTTATGATTATTACATAATGTAGATCATGTAACTTTTAA